CAACTTATCAATTAGATGTTTAATTAGAGACAAGGGATGAGACAGATAGGAAGTTTGTGGCTAGACTATGAAGAACTCTGAGGGCACAGGTTAAGACTAAGGAGTAAGGTCAATATAAAAAATTGGTTTTTGTACTTAATAGTGACCAAGCATATGGTAGATTCTCAAGTTTTTGTTGAATAACCATATAGTTAATGAAAGAAGTTTCTCCTTTATAAGAGACTTTCAGGAGAAGATCTGAGAAAGATTGAATTAGAAAAAATACCATTTGCAACTCAATGAGAATACTGTAACTGGGCAAAATAGATGCTAAAAATGTTATGAGAAATATTGATTGGGGGCTTCCCTGGTGGCACAGTGGTTAAGAATCCGCCTGCCAATGCAGGGGACATGGGTTCGATTCCTGGTCCGGGAAGATGCCACATGCTGCAGAGCAACTAAGCCTGTGCGCCACAACTACTGAGCCTGCGCTCTAGGGCCCGCCAGCCACGAGTCACAACTACTGAGCCCGTGTGCCACAGCTACTGAGCCTGCGCTCTAGAGCCCGCCAGCCACGAACCACAACTACTGAGCCCGTGAGCCACAACTACTTAGCCCGCGTGCCTAGAGCCCACGCTCCGCAACAAGAGAAGCCACCTCAATGAGAAGCCCACGCACTACAACGAAGAGGGGCCCCTGCCCGCCGCAACTAGAGAAAAGCCGGCGCGCAGCAACGGAGACCCAATGCAGCCAAAAATAAAATTAAATTAAAGAAAAAAAAAAACAAGAAGTATCGATGGGGAACTGAACAGCTGGTGACTCAGTCAGCATCACCAAGTGAGACAGCCAGACGCTGAGTGTGCCCTGATGGGATCCAGGAGGACATGCTGGGCTACACATGCTCTTGCCAAAAACTGGTCCTGAATGGAATCACGCTTCCAGATCTAATTAACCAGTTTACGTCTAGAGGACAAACAACCCAGTTTCTCCAACAAACAAAGGGCACAGAAAGAAACAGGGGATGTGAACATGTAGATTAAGTGAAATTAAGAGGCCAATGAAACACAGAAAGAAACAGGGGCTGTGAACGTGTAGATTAAGTGAAATAGGCCAATGAAACAAAAGCCCTCTTAGGATTCTTAACTCAAGCAACCTACAGGTAAAAAGATATTTTTAAGAAGATTGGAGACATTTTAACACGAACCGAGTATTAGATGATATTATAGAACACATAGTTCTTGCTCATTACAGTTACATACTGGTTTACATGATATAGTGTCTGAAAATCTCCAGAGATGAAGAAGTGACCACCAAAATTATTGGCTGCAGAACCACGCTGTCCTGCCAGATCATCACCAGCAAAATGCGTGTCACGTGCCCCTGCCTCTCTCCCATTTAATTCTGTTCCAAACTCAGGCCACACACCTGTGCATTTCATTGGATAAATCTAATAAACATCTGTAATGGTAGCTTTATTTCACCCTTTAGGACATTAAAGGCCAGGCTTCGCTGGCTAGATCACAGAGTTTTGTGTGAGAGACATCCAGACAGGAAGAGAAAGGGGTGGGAACTTACCCTGTTCTAGTAACAGAGGACAGTGGGAAAAGGGGGTTAAGAGAGAGAGAGACAGAGAGATGGTAGAGGGGAAGGAGGGAGTGATTAGGTAAGTGAGGATCACAGAAAGAGCAAGTGGGAGCTTGCCCCCCCCCTACCATTTCCCATTTAAGACTCTGGAAAGAGATCACCTCTCCAGGGGTCCCTGTTCCAAGGTTGCACACAGCCAAATACACTAGTGAACAGTACCTGCGATGTCCACAGCCACTAGAAATTGTATTGGCCCAGCAACTAAGGGGCAATGCCTGGGGCAACAAAGGGGGACTTCAGACTCTACCTCAGCAGTATGGTCAGTGTCACGCCTTGCCTGTCGTTAAAACAGGAAAACCACCTGAAGGGGGTCCTCTGCACTGGCTTAAATGGGGTGGTGCTGGGACTGCATCTCAAGAAGATTAGACACTTCCTTCTCTCCAAAGAAGTTGTCAATTATTTCTCCCTCCTAACTCCGCCCTCCCTTCCAGCTTCCCTCGCCAGAAGAAAAACACTTGAGCCTTATTCTGGGGGCAAGTGTGACTGTATTTTGAATATCATCCTTGACACTCACATTCCAGCAGGGCTCTGACCTTTCCTGATTCTTCTACAGTCCTTTGCCCCCAGATATACTTACTTTCTAAGGAGCCCTCTTTAATCAGCCTTTAGTAACTAATATAGTAAATGACCTACGGTAATGCTAAGGAATTAATGAAGCTGAATGCTGGAAGGCGGAGAGCAATTTGAATCTTCTGGAGAGTTTTCAAACCACACCTGCCGGACCGGAGATTCTGCTAGAGCTCTCACACCCCCATCCCACCCCATGGGATGCGAGCAGGCTGTTTGTTTTGATAAAGGAGTTCCAGTGAGTGAGAGAATGATGACCTTCAGGGAGAGCCGCTAGTTTAGAGTTTGCTGTATGCTGGCAGGAAAGATTTGCATTTTCAGTGCCATCACAGAAACCCAAAGAAGGGATAACTGAAGACTGCTGGAACTGGCTAGGAAAAGATTTGGGCAGCAAAATATCCTTGTATAAGCAGGGCCCCCTGCTCAGGTGTTCCTCAGGGCCACAGCTGCCCTGGCCTGTGCTGAGTCTCTGCACCACTGTCCATGAGACGTAGGGTCACTGGTGAAGTGTCTACCTGGTGTGACTTCCTGGACCCAGATACTGGCTGGCGTGGAGGAACTATGCTACATTTTTGTCTGTTAAAGTGCAAATATTTGCCCTGTAAGAAAAAACTTTGAACGTCAGTGAGTTTAAAAATGAGTACTAGAGGGCTTCCCTGGTGGCGCAGTGGTTGAGAGTCCGCCTGCCGATGCAGGGGACACGGGTTCGTGCCCCGGTCTGGGAGGATCCCACATGCCGCGGAGCAGCTGGGCCCGTGAGCCATGGCTGCTGAGCCTGTGCGTCCAGAGCCTGTGCTCCGCAACGGGAGAGGCCACAACAGCGAGAGGCCCGCGTACCGCAAAAAAAAAAAAAAAAAAAAAAAAATGAGTACTAGAGTCAGTAGAATCTACTGAAAAATTCATAAGCCGTGAATTGAACAAAAATCCTATCAAGTATGATATGGTTTCATGGGAAGAATAGGTTACAAAACCAAAGGTAGAGTGGGATCCCCATTTTGCATTTATATGAAGATAGTACCTGTCTGTTGAGGGAAGCACGTGGAGGGGATGTGAGTGGAGACGGGGGTAGATGGAGGGGGTGGGATGTGAGGGTAGGGGTGATGCCAGGAGTGTGGGGGGGTGTGGAAGGGAGTGTGAGTGTGTCGGGGTTCATGTGCGCACGTGTGTGCATGCTCTCACAGGACTAAACACAGCGAAAACTATAGTGGGCACCCAGACTTCTAAAACCTTGAAGGTTGGTATTGAAGGCAAAAAGGCGGTGCAAGGGTTCTGTCACTCCTCCACCCAGTTCCCCCAGTAAAACTCAATGATGTTTAAGAGCAAGAACTTTGGAGTCAGACCTGGTTTTCAATCCTAACCCAACGTTCACTAGCTGAGGGACCCTGGACAAGTTACTCAGCCTCTTGACATCATTCTCTCATCTGTAAAATAAGGATATTTCTTAGCATCCATATGGGACTGAGCACAGTGTCACACATGGCAGACATTCAATAACGGGTAACTTTTAAAAATTCTAGCCCATTGCTCAAAATGGATCCCGAAAGAAAACTGCACCATGGCAACAAAATAATCTCCAAGAGAGCAATTTTGAAAATATATGCACATTCTATGGCTTCTTTATTTTTAAGAGGTTTTTTGTTTTTTTGGTTTTTAGAGAGGAAGAATAGAGTTTGCAAACTATTCTTGATGACTTGGGGCTCTTGGGACTAATGATAGAGTGAAAACATGAAGTCCACAGGCTAATGTTCCCCAGGGATTTCTACCAACCAAACCTTTTACAAGCGTTCTCACTTGTAAGCAAATAAACTGACTGGAGCTTGCAGCCTCCTTATGCCTTGTCTCACCCTGTGACAAAGGTGCTGGGAGGCTGAGATTGGCCACCAGTCCCAGCAGGATGACACACAACCAGAGAGTTGAATGCAATCTGCCTAGAGGAGGTGGTGATAAATTTGCAGCCGTTAGTCTTTTGTTTTTTCTTCAGGTGGAATAATCTTTATTTTTACTAAATGATTAGTCTTCCAAATAATTAGAAAGCTTCTATAAAATTAGTATTTCTAGGGGATTTCTGAATTATATATTACTTATATTTTTCTCTTTTTTTTTTTTTACTGGAGTATAATTGCTTTACAATGTTGTGTTAGTTTCTGCTGTACAACGAAGTGCATCAGCTATGTGTACGCATATATCCCCTCCCTCCTGGACCTCCCTCCTACCCATCCCACCCACGTAGGTCATCACAGAGCACCGAGCTGAGCCCCCCACGCTATACCGCAGGTTCCCACTAGCTATCTATTTTACACACGATAGTGTGTTTAACATCAAAATCAATCACAATTTTAAGCATTGTGGGGTTTTGCTGTAACGATTGGAAATTTAGCCAATAATAAATTTAGCCAACTTTGGAATTAGGAAGCAAATAGCTAAGTATTGGAAATTTAGCCAATAATCACTTTGGAATTATACAGCAAATAGCTAGTGGAAATATGTGTTACTTTGCAGATTATCTAGAGTGCTTCTTAAACCCATTAAAAAGTAATTCTGGGGCTTTCTTGGTGGCGCGGTGGTTAAGAATTCGCCTGCCAATGCAGGGGACACGGGTTCAAGCCCTGGTCTGGGAAGATCCCACATGCCATGGAGCAACGAAGCCCGTGCACCACAACTACTGAGCCTGCGCTCTAGAGCCCACGAGATGCAACTACTGAGCCCCCATGCCACAACTACTGAAGCCCATGCACCTAGAGCCTGTGCTCTGCAACAAGAGAAGCCACCACAATGAGAAGCCTGCACACCACAATGAAGAGTAGCCCGGCTCTCCGCAACTAGAGAAAGCCCGCGCGCAGCAACGAAGACCCAATGTGGCCAAAAATAAATAAATAAAATAAATAAATAAATTTTTTAAAAAGTAATTTCCCCCAGCTACTACAAGAAAGTTCCTGCTCTAAGTCAGGGACACCTACTCACTGATTCTCATAAGAATAATGCAAAGTACTTTTATGTTCTTAAAAATAAAAGTAGTATATGGCCCTTCTTTTTTCTTTTTCTTTTTCTTTTTTTATAGCCTCTATAGCATCTCCCTGCTAATGCTGTTCCAGCTGTAGAGTTACTGGGCCTAAATAGTGTTGAAATTCTCAACACTTCTAACTGCTGGTCTCCATAGGAACAGATATGCCTCCCTAAGCAATGGCTGGCTGCAGCAGGAGGGTCTCAGGTTCTGTTAGGGACCTTCTTGTGGTTATTGTAGCTGATGCCACCAATGCCCTCTAGTACATTCATGGGCAGAGGAAACAATGGTGGAATTCTTCTCTGTGGCGACAGTGGTTAAGGTCTGCAGGTAACGCAGCTGGAGGGCGATGGGGGACTCAGCCAGCACCATGGAGGCTGACTTCAGGGCTTTAGAAGCATTCATTTCTCCTTCTGCTGCAAGGACCTAAATCGACAGAAATAAAAGCCTTTAGACAGCTTACAGCTGTCACTAGTGCTTCCTTTTCCTGGGTCTGCACTGATACTTCTCTCCCAGCCCCTACTTGGCCACCCATGTTTCATCTGCTTACTTCTTTGGCAAGGATTAGAGTTTCACATCCTAATGTGATGAGAGAAACTGGAGAAGGTTGCAGGAAGCAGGGAGACAGCTTACAAATTATGAGTCCTTAGATTTCATTCTCAAACAAAATAAAAGCGCTGCCTTTAACCCGAACAAATACAGGTCCATCTACCCTGGTGATGCTCTTGAATCACCATGGAGCCTCACCACTGGCTGCTTTCGTTTTCAGAGAAGTCTGAAATTCAAGACCTCCAACTGGCTTCTTTTCTGTCCTTTTTACTTATCATAGATTTTTTTTTAGATTTCATCCTGTTGCCAATTTTGTCTCATTCTTACAATGTAAGGATTGTTTCAAGCTCTCCCTGCTCTTGATTGCAAGAAGCAGCAAGTACCAGTCTGCAAACCCTCACTGGAACTCTCCTAAGTGCCCTGTTCCTCCTCTGGTTCTCAGACTGCCCAAGAATGACTGGAACTCAGCTGCCCCTCCGTGGGCACTCACTGCCCACGTGCAAAAGCGACTCCCGGGCTTCCCTGGTGGCGCAGTGGTTAAGAATCTGCCTGCTAATGCAGGGGACACGGGTTCGAGCCCTGGTCTGGGAGGATCCCACATGCCGCGGAGCGACTGGGCCCGTGAGCCACAACTAGTGAGCCTGTGCTCTGCAACAAGAGAGGCCACTACAGTGAGAGGCCCGCGCACCGCGATGAAGAGTGGCCCCCGCTCGCCGCAACTAGAGAAAGCCCTCGTACAGAAACGAAGACCTAACACAGCCATAAATAAATTAATTAATTAATGTAGGGGCTTCCCTGGTGGCGCAGTGGTTGAGAATCTGCCTGCTAATGCAGGGACCACGGGTTCGAGCCCCGGTCTGGGAGGATCCCACATGCCGCGGAGCGACTGGGCCCGTGAGCCATGGCCGCTGAGCCGGCGCGTCTGGAGCCTGTGCTCCGCAACAAGAGAGGCCACGATAGTGAGAGGCCCGCGCACCACGATGAAGAGTGGCCCCCGCTTGCCACAGCTGGAGAAAGTCCTCGCACAGAAACGAAGACCCAACACAGCAAAAATAAATTAATTAATAAACTCCTACCCCCAACATCTTCTTTAAAAAATAATAATAAATTAATGTAAAAAAAAAAAAAAAGCGACTCCCAAGTCAACTGCTTAGAAGCTGCTGGAGCTTAGCAGAGAAACCAGAGATAAAGTAGAGGGAAACCTCCCTCGAGTCTCAAGTATGATTCCAAAGGGGGTACTTGGAGGCTTCTAATCTAATTGGCTTCTGATACTTCAGGAAACCCATCCACACAGATATGAGGGCTATGGATCCAACAGATTCACGGACACTCCAGACCAAGATGCACTCACATTTTGTAATTCTAACCTGCATTGTAGTCACCCCCCTCCTCTTAATTCAGTTCACTTAACACATTAGAAGGAAGATACTCCAAAGACAGGCACCAAGTTGCTACCTCAGAATCATCAGCTTTATAAAAATGCAGGTTCCTGGGCCCACCAGAGACTCTACTTCACTGAGTCTGAGGTGAGGCCTGGGAATTGGTGTTTCCTTTGCTCATTTCTCTCTAGGAGGCTCTGCTGTGTGGCCAGAGTGGGGACCCACCTGGCTAAGTCACTGAGTATGCTGCCGAGCACCCTTGACCCAAGACCTAACACCAAGCTTCCTCAAGGTGCATTAAGCTGCCTATGAGCTTTTAACTCAAGGGGAAATTCTCAGTAAAAACTGTGAGAAAAGAAACCCTCTTCTTATTGAAATCACTGAGGGGACCTGAGCTTCCTTTCAAGCTCCATCCTTGTTGGCTCCAAGGCTGGGAAGCTCGCCCTCCAGTGCAGATTGAGTCGCCCTTACCCTGGCCCTGGCCTCCCGGGCGGCCTCGGCCTCAGCAACCGTGGACGTCTGCAACTGCCCGGGAATCCGGACGTCTTTGGTTTCCACTTGGGCCACCTGGATCCCCCGCAGCTTGGTGGCATCATCAAGTAAAGTCTGTTTTCAAGTCAAAAGAAAGGTCGTTGATCAGAAGACAGGTGTGCAATCGAAGTTTCTGATATGTGTTATATATGCAAGAAAAGTCCTCTGCTTTTTCTCCTTCTGTATTTACAGCATTTGGAGTGAGACAGTTTGGAAAGGGGATAGGAGTTCTTACCGCCCACTTCCTGGCATTGAAGTGAATCCTGGGAAGGATTCAGAAACAAAACTTGATAGGTCTTTTAATAGGTGGTCTCTCAGCAGGTCCGCCCCAAACCATTCCTAATGAAGTATATACTATCCATCTAGATGTGAGCAAATAGCCCACATTTTCTTGTCACTGACACCAAACTGGCAGCAATGGATTTTGTCCTGCTTCTGCCATTTGCAGCTGTGAATCATTGGGCCCATGACTTAACCTTTCTGATTCTCAGTTTTCATACTGTAAAAGGTTTTCTTTCAGGATTGTCATGAGTTTTGGAGATAACACATGTTAAAATATGTATCGGTGCCCAGCAATAACTCAGTACATATTATCACTGGGTACTTTTAGAGATATTATTTGTCTTGCTCTGTTTAACCCCTGACCTGTGGCTCAGTTTTAAACAGGTAGCAAGGCATATATTTTTTAGAGCAGAAGAAGCCTAAAATCAAAGACATCCTCATCTTTTGTTAAAGCTTAAGACCACTGAAGATATCTTGCTGGTTATCCTGGAGGGGAAGGGATGAGAAAGAATGCCTTGAGAAATAATGAGACCAGATGGGTAGTTCCCTCAAAGGGGAAAGGGCAGAGATCTATGTGATACCAAATAGCAAGTGAGCCCTAGCTTTTCCGTGATCCCTGCAGAGAGCTGGGAGATGGGGAGACCTCACAAGAAGCCAGTGACCTGACTGTGATGGGGAAACAGCTGAGTCGTTGAACTTGTGTGGCTCTTAAAATGACGTGGAGAGTTATCATGCAGAACTGATATTATCTTATAAAACCTCGGGGACTTTGCACTACCTTAGGGGCTGGAGGAGATGCCAAGAAGGGCCAAAGTTGAATTTCCCTCTTAACTTACAGAAGGCAGGCTCAGAATCAAAATGTTAATTGATTCAAGAAAACACAGAAATGTGATCATCTATAATCTAGGGTGTACGGGAGGTGAGATGGATACCTGTTACATCCTTATCAATATTATAATTATGACTGCTATTCATATCATTATTGATATTAGTACATGAAGTCGGATTTCCCAGGGATAGCAGTCCTGTGCTGTCTCAACCAAACCTCCTTCTAACGTTCACATTCCACTGAAATGCCTGAGAAATGGCAGCCCTTCCTCTGGAGTAATCTAAACTAAAAATAACTCTGATCTCTACGCTCTTCAAAAAAGGCTAAAGTGTACAATGGTAATTCATAATTTTGAATTCCACACACACTCCAACAGCTCCCCGCTCCCACTCAGATTTTTAAATCTGGACCTCATGATTATAAAAAAAAAAAAAAGTGAAATCCCAAACTGAAGCCCATCTGTTTAGAGCAGTTGTGGTGTGTGTGTGTGTGTGTGTGTGTGTGTGTGTGTGTGTGTGTGCACATGGGGAGGGGTGCTTTGAACTGCTGATATTTGATCATCACTATTAAAATGAGTGAATTAAAGATGTAGGCTATTGGTCCTTCATGTCTTTACCTGGATGCTATGGGCCATCTCTTCTCGGCCAGCTAAGATTTGGGACAAGGTCTGTGTCCCTAAGACATTTCTCAGAGTGGTCTGAGCCAGCAGAAATGTGGCTTGCTAGACATCGTTGACATTAGCCACTGCCGAGACGGCACTATAGATTCTGTAATAGACCATTCCATCCACTTGAGTGGTCACAGAGTCTCTGGTGAGGATCTGTAGAGCAGGAACACAGAAAATCACATGCTTATGACTTTCACAATGGTTGATCCACAAAGGGTCAGCCAGTCCCAGAGCCCTCTCCGCAGGAGGAGAGCTTTAATGACAACTCATGCCAGCATCACCAAAAATCTGTCCTGGCTTGAATATACTATCATCCTTGTTGATAGCAAAATTCCTACACAGATGTGATCTGTACCTATCCCTGTAACTTCATCTTAGAGAAATCAGAAGTGAAATAGGTATTTCCACTTTAAAATGTAATAGTAGAACCTGCTGGAATTCTACCATCTAAATAGTGGTAGAACACCTGTTTCCCTGATACCTGAAATCTTTTTGGTTCTCAGTTTCATCAGGCTTGATAAATAGCAGTGCTTTTTAGAAAACATAGATGGCACCAGAGACCGTGTTCTGTATTCAAATAAAGAAAAATCAATTTATAGAGGCTCTGCATTAATTGTTCTGAATTAACATGACAAGGTACTTTGGAGCAAATGAGCTTTCTGTGAGTACCACGAAAGCAGGACCTAGAACTCCCTTCTCCCGTCTAGAACTGTTTACTATGGAGCCAGAAAAGGCCCGTGAGAGCCCCTAAACATCCTAAGCTCTCTTATGATTAGGGCTGAATTCCAAAGTAAGGACTCTGCAGTTCCCACCAATGGCATGAACACATCATTGTTGAGTCTCGATTGAGTTTTCTGGACCAGAGAGAGGAAAATTAACATTTCCTCATAAGTGTTGATTTTCTCACTTCTCATCCCCTTTGCCCTCCCACACATTTTCTTTTCTCTTCCTGGATCATTTTGTTTATCACAAATTGGCATGATTATTAGCAATTCTGTTTCTCTTCCTTATCACCCACTTACTGGGTCTGGTCATTTAGTTGCTGTACTTTAAGAATTGAAAAGAACTATTTGAAATCCAGTTACAGGTGAGCCCTGTACAGTGTCTGCTCCTTTCCCATGCACACCCCACTCTGTTGCATCCAAACACTCAAAAAATTTAGTGCAGTACACACGGTTATATTTAAAATGGATAACCAACAGGGACCTACTGTATAGCAGGGAACTCTGCTCAATATTCTGTAACAACCTAAATGGGAAAAGAATTAGAAAAAGGATATATGTATACGTATAACTGAATCACTTTGCTATACACCTGAGAGTAACACAACATTGTTAATCAACTATGCTCCAATATAAAATAAAAAGTTAAAAAAATTTAATGCAGAGGTGAGTTATATCGATATTACTAAAACATTTCCGGAGACGGTGATGGAAAGGATAAAGTCCTAACCAGCCACCAAATCAGTTTCAGCCCCCTCGTACAATGATTTCTCAGACTCTTCCAGGGATCGGCTTGTCATTCTCCACCCCACTTTCTCTGCCATCTGTATCCCTTCTCTCTCTTCTCTCAGACTTTCTCCCACCCAGTCATTGCAGGTCTTCTAGCAATTCAGCCCTTGCCCTTGGCTTCATTCTCATTTGGCGAAACAAAGCCCAGTAGTCTCAGGAGCCACCTAGGACTCCCCAAGCAGATCTCTAAGAATTCAGTTCATCCTCCCCTTTATAGTTTGAAAACATATGATACAGTCTCAATTGTCCCTGTAACAGGGAAGATATTGGTTTTATTTCTAGAAACATAGCTTTAATCAGCATTACCTCCTGTGGAGCGATGTTGCACGTAACGGTCCGGAGATCAACTTTGACAAACACGTCTATGCAAGGCAGGACCAGGATCAAACCCATGCAAAAGAAAATATGGTTTAGAATTTCACCCGACTGAAAATAACTGCAACAAATTGTCTGCTAGCTATACAGTACATTATTTGCATGGGACTATAAATGCTTCTCAGATGATCTTCCATACGTACACCTATACCTTTGGGGAAATTATTTCCTGCTATGAGTCAATGGCTAAAGAAAAGTGATTCCCTAGAAATTAAAATCTTTTGGTAAAAGCTGAAGATCCTTGACAATTAATTTTTAGATTTTCTTTTGTAAAACATTTAACTTACTTCTATCCAAGTGTTGAGTGTGACATTTATTTAAAAGGATATTTTGGAAATTGGTTTCTTTATGTTAAAGGTATCTGTATAAAAGATTCAATTAATAGACTTTAGACCTTGAATATCAGTGACTGTCAACATTCTCATTTATCTTCATTAGTACTGAAGGAATGTTAAAATTGAAATCTTCCCAGGATTTCAGTGTCCCCAAAACCAATGTATTATAAAATTTGTAGTTTCTCTGTAGCTGTGTTCTAGTTTATATACAATGACATGCCTCGGTTGTAAATACTTTTACTTATCTCTTGTGAAGATTTGGATTGAGGTAGGGATAGGGCTAAGGAAACTCATTTGAGGATTCTATGACTCCTTAACACTGCCCTGGGGAAGGTTCTCTACAGCAAGCGCTATAAAGATTAGAACCACAAGGCATGTCAGCAAGATGGGGACACCAATCCATTTTCATTTACCAGAAAGATTCTGTGCTATTGTTTTTGTTTTCAAAGAAGAAACAACTTTCTACACTGAGTATCATGAAAAGGACAGGTAGCATCAACAGAAAACACTGCTAAGGTGCTTTCTTTCTTTTGGTGTCTAAACCTTTCTGGGGTAAGGATTACTTCCTAATTTACTTTTTTTTTCGGTGCTAAGTCACCAGTTAAGATCATGGCCCTTAGAACTAGAGAGAGTTAAGTTCCAGCGCTACCACTTACCAGCTGTGACCTGGGAACATTTATCTAATTTTTCTGCGCTTCAGTCACCTAATATCTATAAGATGGCAGTGAAGATTAAGCAGGTGTCAGCATAATAATGAAATAAAATACTAAACATAGTGCCAGGCATGTATTCAGTGCTGAAAAGTAGCAGCTCCTGTTATGAACACTTTTATTATTAAAGCATAATTTACTATTTACAGAAGTGGAGATGTTTTCCATTAGCAATTTGGCCTGTTTCCCTCCGGCTCTTATGACATTTTGAGGTAACTTCTCTTAGCCCCAGAGACATGTATGACGAGATTAGTTATCCTGGGAGATTTAGTGGTGAACACTTCCGGGAAAATTCATTTAAAAGAGACTTTTCTCTAGAGTCCTGCAAGTTATAGCTATTTGACCTCTCTCAAATCCAATTTTATTCTAATTTATAATCTTGGCTTCACCACGTGAAACATGACCAGGAAGGGGTTAACTTTGCTCTGGTATTTCTCACTTGGATAATTCTAACACCTCTATTTGGACAAACTCATAAAAATATCCATAATAAGCAATTTTTGCCCTCTTTCTTTTAGGTTCCTTATTAGACAAGTAGGATTGTATCAATACTACTTGAAGTGGCCAAGTCTCCGTAACAAGCTTCCCCTTTGGAAGTTGCTCATGTTTAAAAATGTAACAGATACCTGAGTGCCTACCATAGTACATGGCCAAGTGCAAAGCGTACAGAGTGAATAAGGAAGTTCCTGCCCCCCCAGAGATCCTACAGTGCAGTTGAAGGGAGAATGATTTTACTTAAATACATCACACTAGGGGGAAGAAAGCAAATGTTATTAGAGAAGTATAGCAAATAACCATTCTCTTCCATGTGCCTTCCAAGATGCTGTTTGGAGAGCCTCCCCTGTCAAGAATATTAGAGCCTATCGTATGAAATTGCCATTTTGGTGGATTGAAACCAAACATTAGCAATTTCATAGGGTTCAACACAATATACACAAGAGAAGTTATGAGTATTAAATCAGTGTCTTACTCCTGAGGACTTTTAGTATCGATACTCCTGGCTCCCACAAAAGAAAATCCCATCCTTTTATGATATGAACAGTTTGGGACATTTTTTATTCTGAGGCTGTAGAGAAAGGATGGAAATAAAGACCACATTTGACGAAAGGAATTGTCAAATGGCTTCCAGCTCTATGTTGCTCTCAATCTACTTGTCAAGAGAGGACATTACCTTTGACTTTTCCATTGGCTCTTTCAAAGAGTGAGAATCAAACACCAGCTCCCGGAATACTCTCCCTGAGTAACTTAATTGTCTCCCTTGGCCATTTACTCCCTCCCTTCATTCTTCTTTCATTCTCTTAGTGGCCCTGGTAATAAGGGACACCCAGCCAATGTAACCGGAGCCACTCTTTGTTCACATTCACTGAAACTCTCAGAGGGAGTGTTAGAACACTGATCCAGATTCCAAAGCTCTCCAGCTAATGGTCTAGTGATCACTTCTGTTAACTCAAGTAAGAGGACAAGATCCTTCAATTGTACAGAAAGGCAAGGGCTCCAGCTTCCGGTGATTTTTTTTTCAATAAATGTTTCCAGAGAAAAGTTCTGGTGGCAGTAGTAGCAGTAACAGGTGCCCATGATCCTTATCACGAGCAGCTGCAGTGTCATACCTGGTGGCCCTTTGGCTTTGTCAGCTTGGATGCGTCCCAGTCGGAATACAACGGCGCGTTCGTACTCCTTAATAATCTAAGAGATTAAGGGAGAGTATTTAGTCATAATGATTCATCAGCTCATGGAGAGAGCCCAGTTTATTTCCCAGGGTATTACCTTCAAGCACATCCATATGGAGATAGGGAAGGTAATGACCATCGACAGGAAAGAAAACGAAAACAGGATCCAGCCACATACACCAAGCCCTTTACTCTTGATGCCTAGGAGATGAGGAGGCAGTTCTGTAGCTGACATGGTTCTTAGGAAAGCGATTCAGCTGCGTGGGTGAGGCAACCGTCCAGAGGGCTGGCCAAGCCAGAATGGGGCTGAGGAAGCGACCTGAATCCACACACACACGGTTGCAGTAAACACACACGCACGTGCGCACACACACACACACACACACACACACACACACACGGAAAATATTCCTTCAGGTTTTTAGATGAAAACTGACCTGTCCCTTCCAAGAAAAGTCTCATAGCAAAATCAATAACAGTAATCACCATTACATTTACTTAGGGCTGCCATGGTTTTTTATTCTCAAAACGCATAAAACTACCCGCCTCAGGATCATCAGGGTGTCATTTTAAAAGACAGATTTCTGGGCCCGCAGAATTCTCCAGGGGAAGTCTAGGCAACCTCTGGGGCAGATAGGTAGGTACTCTTATCCCCAAACAAGTCAACAGAGCACAAGGAAAAACATCATCCAGAGTGCTTATGTTTGAGTTTCTATGAGAGGCTTTAACTTACCAGTGTGGTGGCCTCAGGAAAGCCACTCGACCTTTCTGAGCCTCCATTTCTTCATCTGTAGGATGGGGATAGAAATCACCTACCTTGAAGGATGCGATGAGGATTAAATGAGATTATTTATATAAGGCACCTAGCCCAGACATTAATGCCTACCTTAGTAGATGTATACTACACTTATTCCCGTCTTACAGATTGATAAATACTTTAGAAGTCTTTATATTCACTATTTCACCTTGCTTTAAATCCTTGCTGCTTCTTGGTTCTCTTCTCCTTGACAAGGAGCCCCACCCTCAACCCTCCACTTCCTCCAATTGATTTCACATTCTCCACACAAGCACTAGAACTAATCATATTTGCTAGATAACTCTACTCAGATAATCCACAAACACCTTATGTTATTATGCCTCTATCTCAGTTAATGTCTTAACCATCCGTACTTAACCATCCACATTATTGTCCAGGTTAAAGACACAGGGTCATCATTGCCTCTTCCCTATCCAACTACAGAAGTCACTGAGCCTCACTGGTACCACCTCAAATTCAGCCTCACGTATCCATTTTACTACAACGGGATCATTGGCGAACATAAATTTACGAATATTTACAAGGGTTCTAGGGTTTTGCTCTTACAGATAATGCTGTGATGAGTCTTTTTTTTTTTTGCAGTACTCGGGCCTCTCACTGTTGTGGCCTCTCCCGTTGTGGAGCACAGGGTCCGGACGCGCAGGCTCAGCGGCCATGGCTCACGGGCCCAGCCGCTCTGCGGCATGTGGGATCTTCCTGGACCGGGGCACGAACCCATGTCCCCTGCATCGGCAGGCGGACTCTCAACCACTGCGCCACCAGGGAAGCCCAAGTTTCTACTTTTTTAAACTGAATATGTTTGGGAGATATTTCCATGTCATTACATCTGGATCTACCTCATTCTTCTTCATTGTTGCCTCCTATTCTAAATTTGTGACTCAGTTATTTAGCCATTCTCCTATTGATGGATATTATGGTTACTTGCAATTTTGCCTTTACAAACAAGGCTGCAATAACTGTGCTTGTACACGCCTCTCCCAGACAATTTGCATCTTGAGGAAAGCATTGAGAAGGCAACACAGCCCTTGCGCCCTCTGGTGTGTTCCCTCCCTGCTGACACTGCCGTATTTGGTGTTCAGGAACTTTGGGGTGTTGGGGGCTGTGACATTAGCAGTGCTGCACACACAGGCAGCTGGGACTCCAACAAGGACATCAGCTATGCTTTATGCCCTGAGCAAGCCCTAGCCATGTCCAGACTAGCTACAGCCTTAACACCAAGCTGCAAAAGCAAGTGCTTGTCACAGAGAAAACTGCCCTGGCCTCCGGGAGCTCCTCTGCAGTCCCACCCAGCCCTATAGCATCATTACCTGAGGCTCTGTTAAGTACTAAATGTGCAGAGAGAGACCAGGGATGAAGACACGATTAATCTTCCAAGATTTACCCTGAGCATTAGAATTACCCAGGTCTCTGCTGCTGGGAGGATTGGTGGAGCCTGGGGGTGTCCTTAGCTGCCGGTGAAAGTGGGACTGTCGGCTTCCCCGCAGGGCTGGGCAGCTCTGCCTTGTGAGCAGTAGCTGGGCAAGCACAAAGTGCTGCTTTTGCAGCTTCCTGCAGAGCAGATCTTTCAGCCAGCCTTGCCCCTCCCCACCTCTCCTGCAGTTAAAACTGTGGATGCTGTGCTGAGAATTGGATTTGAGGATTCTAACTCCAGTTCAAAGGAAGTACTGGGACTGTATGACAAAGGCTCTTCAGAAATCTCCCTTTACCTCAACCTACACAAGGATTCTTCCAGAGCCTTCCCTGAGCCATTCCCTTGAGGGGCCGATGGAAAGAAAATGGGCCACACACCCTCTCTGTTAGCCATGAAGCCCTGAGCTCATCTGATCATCTCTTGCTTTATCCAAATCCATGGATGGGTGTTTTCTATGGGTAATTGTCACCATACCATAAAGCCATCATCATATTACTTCCTGGTAGAGAACTGGACTTTGTCACCCCCGGAAAAGTGCCCGCCGGTTTCTCATTCATCAATTTAACAAATATTTTACCAGTTATATGCCAGGCACAGTGTGCTAGAGTTGCAGATACAAAAGAGAATAAGATGGGGAACTTTCCAACAGGAGTTGGAACAGGGCTTCCCTGGTGGTGCAGTGGCTGAGAGTCTGCCTGCTAACGCAGAGGACACGGGCTCGAGCCCTGGTCTGGGAGGATCCCACATGCCACGGAGCAACTAGGCCCATGAGCCACAACTACTGAGCCTGCGTGTCTGGAGCTTGTGCTCCGCAACAAGAGAGGCTGCGACGGTGAGAGGCCTGCGCACCGCGATGAAGAGTGGTCCCCGCTCGCTGCAACTAGAGAAAGCCCTCGCACAGAAACGAAGACCCAACAAATAAACAAACAAATAAATAAATAAATAAATAAGAGTTGGAACATCTTTCCCTCAATCTGCAAAATGAAAGGTGAGCCATAATGCACAGAACCTGAGGCCCAGCGCTGCTGACACTGGGGAGGACTCTGGGACTTCAGTTGGAAGGACTTTAAAGATAACTGAGGCCAACCCTGCATTTTGCAGCCAGAAAGCTTCCTGGTTAGTGTGGTCACCATCATGTCAATCTCTCTTTAGGTAAAGTGGTACCCACAAGTTCCACAATCAGCTTGATCAACAGTATTTAAACATTAGATCAATTCTATATGCAGTCCATGCCCACAGATCTGTGTTACTGTAAATAGCCATTTCCTCTCGAAGCAGAAAGAGCCATTTAGGTAAGAGGACAGTGTTTAAAATACCAAAACCGAATGATGTACATTACACATCAGGGAAATGAAAATGAAAACCACAATGAGATAAAAATACACAGCTTCCAGAATGGCAAATGCTGAAGACTGACGACGCCACATTTTAGCAAGGGTGTGGAGCAATGGGAATTCTCATGTTCGCGAATTAATACAATTACCTTGAAAAACTATTTGGAAGTATCTGTTAAAGCCAAACACACACTTTATGACTCGGGATTCAACTTCTAAGTAATATCTCAGAGAAATGAGTGTTGATTACAGTGAAAAGCATACTCAGGAATGTTTATTTCAATTTTATTCGTAAAATCCAAGAAATGAAGAACCACCCAAACCCACCAACAGTAGAATGAATAAATAAAGTTGTGGTATGTTCATATAAAAGATTACTCAGGAAGAAAAAAGACAAGGTTACTGCTATACAGTATTCAAAATATGGATGAATCTCATAGACAAAATATTGGGCAAAATAAGCCAGACACAACAGGCACACTTTGTGATTCCACGTCTAAGAGTACGTACTGTACGACCTCGTACTGTATCATTTCGTTCAGGAAGAGGCAAAATTAATCTATTATGTTTAAAGTCAGAGTAGTACTGTCTCTAGGTAGTGAGTGGAGTTTTGTCAGTTGGGTATTATCTGGGAAGAGATAAGGAAGCTTTTTAGGGGGCTGGAAATGTTCCATGTCTTGATCTGGGTGGTGATTGCATAGACTTCCACATATTGAGCCTGTGGAAATAAACAAAGACCAGCCAGCTAGAAAAGCAAAGGGTATTTATTCAGGCTCTCACAAAAGAGTCAGCCTCTATCACTTGTGTTTTGGCAGAGACTCAAAGGCAGGCAGAGGAATGGGAAAGCTTTACGGTGGAAAAAGGGGGTGTGCCCTGATTGGAGGCTGTTGGCCTAGGGAAGCTGTAGGTGGACAAAATAGAAGCAGAGCATCCTACGTGATTGGTGTAGGGGTACCTGCTTGGTTTTCTTTTGTTGGACCTAAACTGGAATCGGGGACAAAAAGCAGGGGAGCTGTCAGTTATTAATCAAGTCCTGGCCATCTGGGGCTGAATGTTACAGAAGTAATTATGTAGCTTCCGATAACAATGTGGTTTCCTGAGAATCTGACATCAAGCAGGCTGGCTTCCTGGGCTGATTATTTTAGATAAAAGGTTGGTTTTCTGGGCTGGTTGCTGCAGGTTGGTGGTCAGAATTCTATTTTTAGATATGGTCCAGCCTTTGTCTGTTGTGTATTCAGTCTGTGAAGCCAGGCACTTAAGACTTGCGCACTTTATTGTATGTATCTCATACCTCAATAAATGATTCACACAGAGACCAGAGGATACCTACGGGCAGGCTAGCATTGAAGATGGGAAACTCACTGCTTGTTCTGAATTCTCAGAAAGAAGAGGACAGAAAGGCGGGAAGAGCTTTAGCACAGCCAGCCTAGGGACAGACAGGCGACAATGCCTCACAGGGATGGAAAGTGCAGGTCCTTGGTCGGGGGACCCTGCGTTCGAATTGAGATGCCGCCATTTGAAAACTAGATGACACCTCATGAGTCACTCAACCTGCTGAGGTCTTACTTTCCTTCTGTTAACCCAACAATAACTAGTTGTGAGAGTTAAATAAATTACATGTAAAAGAATTATTAGCCATATCAGGAGGCCTTCTAGTCGGCCAGGCCACTGACTAGGATTTTCCTAGAGGTCTTAACATTTCCTTCGGCTTGCCTCGCCATTAAAGAGATTTCCGTTTCCCTTGAGCATTTCCTTTAGAACGCTTAACTTTGTAAATCCTTTCTCTGCCCCTTTGAGATGTAAGTCTTTTTAAAAGCCTCTTGCCAGTTTTACAATCTGGGACTATCTTTCTCAAGGACCTGGAAGCCATTCTCTTGAATAATCATCAGGTAGATAGCATCCCTAGCTCCCAGTCTCTGTGCGCCAGTAGGAGCCCAACTTCTGTAGGTACCATGCTCCCAGTTGTAAAAACACACCCTGTCATAAAGATGTGAGAATTTTATTAGCAAACCAAACCCAGACAGCCTGTAAGCACCCCGCAAAGCCCTTCATGCTTTCTCACTACCGCACTCCAGTCTTTAAAAACCCCACACCCTGGGGAACTCCCTGGCGGTCCAGTGGTTAGGACTCAGCAATTTCTCCGCTGGGGCCCGGGTTCAATCCCTGGTCGAGGAAGTAAGATCCCGAAAGCTTTGTGACGTGGCCGAAAACAACAACAACAATAACAAAACCCCCCAAAACTCCACACCCCTTTGTTTCAGTGGTGTTGGTTCAGATTGAGGTTTGGCTTCTCTCCTATGGCAGTAAGCTTGTCTAAGGTTTTGCTTTCTTGCCTGTTTAATTTTGTCTGGTTCAATTTTGCTTTGACAACTGATATTTTTAAAATTTTCCTTTATTGACTTATTTTTCCAGATGGAATTCTAAATATCACTTGTGGATGTTCTGCTCCATCCAGATGATGGCTCCTCTCTATGTGCAAGAACTGCATTTTCAACGAGAACACGCAATAAAACCCTAACCCCTGCAGGTTTCTACCTCCTAAAGCGACCTGGTCACTGACTGTATAAGTTCTTTCAGATAACTTTTAGAAACTTAAAAAAGATAGAGGGAGAGAGGGAGAGAGAGAGACACAAGATTTTTGGTGCAAAACTACCAAATCAGAGCTAGATGATGATTTTATCATCCTTGTACTCCTAGGACTACAAAATTCCATAATCCCAAGAGTCTTCTAAACTGTCAGATTTACATCTCAACTACAGAAGGATGATCTGAGCTTAGTAGTTACATGAACTTCAGACACGGTTATACTAAGTTTCTTTTTTACCATTTGGTCTTTTTAAGAAAGAGTTAAGATATATTTTGAAATGGAATGTTCAAAAAGGTGTAAAAATAATGTTTTTCATACCTTATATACCCCCTTTCAGCTAAAGAATTTAAGCATTGCCAACACAATTAAAGCCCCCTCGTGTGCCCCGCTTCGTGACCTTCCCCCTCCGCCAGAGGCAGCTTGCCCGGCAGCTTCCTCATGGTAAATCCAGTGGGGCTCCATCCCCATCAGTCAAATGCAGCAGCAACTCCCAAACCTGCCATTCAAAGACCAGGCTTGACACAGGGGTTCTTAGCTTATCCGTAGTTGAGCTTTTCAAGTGGCAGTGCTGTGCTCTCTCACTACTGGGTCTAGGTGACTAGGTCACATGCTAACAGCACATAAACATCCCCTGCAGTAGAGAAAGCACCGAAGTCCTCACATACTTTTTGCCTTGCATGGGCCTTTGTGTCCCCCAGACCCCCATTCACATCCCACATTCTCCTTTCTCGCACCTTCTTTTCTAGGAAGATTTTCCAATCTTACCTTCACCTTTGGGAGCTCTTCTTCTGAGTTTCTAAAACACCCTCTATCATCACTTTTCATAGTACACTGTAATTTTTAGTTAACTTTCCTGTAGATTTTTAGTGCTTTGGGAGCAGGCGTTTTATTTTTACATCTCTGTCTCCTGATACACAGTAGATTCTGGATTCATTCATTGAATGAATGAAGCGGGCGGCACCCTCGATGCTTTGAACTATCAAGAATGATGCCCAGCAACAAGATAGACTTATTGATCTGTTTGAAGCTTCTTGTTTGGAAATAACGATCCATCAGAGGAGATTCTGTTTGCTTTCAAGAGAGTCGGTTAACCTGAGAACCACACGTACATCTTCGCATTTTCTCCTTCATACGTACTATCTTACACCCTCAGCCCCCCACACCAGTATAAGAAGAAAATAAAGAGAAAATGTTTTCCTTGCATCATTCTCCTCTCTCGCCAGCCCCACGTCCTGTCTGAAATAACTACCAATAGCAACAAGTGCAAATACTTTGTCCTGAAGATTTATGCCCATTCTCACGATAGTGTTATTTATAAGAGTGGTAAATCAAAAACACCCTGAAAGTACAATGGAGGGATAATTAAGCAAATCATGATACAGCTACACAATATCATATTATAAAATTTTTTAAGGTACAAAAACATGAGAAAATTGCTATGGTATATTGTTAAAAGAAAGAAGTAGTAGGATGCAAAATTATACAGATGGTATGATCTCTCTTAGCCAAAACAATATGCTTAGAAAAAATATGGGATAAAAATTAACCAAAATATTAACAGGGATTAATTCTGAGTGATGGAAGTATGACTGATTTATACTTCTCAGAGTTTTCTTATTTTTTGCTACCTTTATAATTTTAAAAAGCAATTTTAAAATGAAAACTAATCATGTCAAGTAAAAAAAAAAAGTACTGTTTTCAGAGCAGAAAAGACCAGGTGCTTCTCAGGGGAAAAATGAAAGGTGTGTGCAATAAGAACAGGCACCTTCCCTGGACCTGGGGAGATCGATAGTATTACAAATTCTTCCCTCTTTCCTGTTCACTTCCGATCCTGTGGAGATACAGTCAGTAAAATAGTCTCAGCAACTTCCCGGCCCTTTCTCCAGCGAATCAAGGATTTTAAGCACCGAACATAAAATCTAAAGTGAAACCCAACGGGTAAACACTATCTTTTCATCACCTGTAAATTATCTGTCCTCCTGCCTTTTTCTCTGAAATATGCACACAGCTTGCGTCAAGAACTTTCAGAATTGCTGAAAAGAAATACCGTGCGACTCAAAGTGTGGTCTCAGTCTGGCAACCTCATGAGCTTAGGAATTTACTTGGAGGCAAACTCTCAAGTCCATCCCAGACCTAAGGAGAAGAACTTCTGGAGGTGAGGACTGCTCTGAGCTTTAAAAAACTCTCCAGGAAAATTCTTTTGCACATTGACATTGAGAAGATTTCTAAGACTGAGATGATCAAGATTCCAATTAACTTCACTTTAACTCTTAAAGAAAAAAAAGAAAGAAAAAAAGCAAGGGGTAGGACTTTATGTCCGAGGCTGATAAGTAGCGGTGTACTAATAGCAGTGAGGACGCAGGGGAAAAGCCCTAACTTATAGCATTCTGTACATTCTGATCTACCCTTGTGACCACACCGAACTTGGAGTCAGGAAGAGATGCACCCTAATGGCTTTCGAAAGCTGGGACAAACCTGGGGGTGATAACTAAGACTCATTTATTCATTTAATTCTCGCAACATTATGAGTGGAAATTTCTGTACAGCTTGAAGAACCAAATGATGTTGTCTTGTTAATGTGTCCAAGAAGGAGGAGGGCAAGGGCAAACTTATCCCACAAATCTCAGAGAAGGACTGATATTGCATCTCACAAACTGCCTAAAGCATATGAAATAGAAGTTGTAACATAATAAGCCCCATTTCGGTTTGATCTGTGATAGTGCGGGTTTGTCATTATAGTCAAAACCCAGCACCAAGTAAACCCATGAGCATTTTAAAATACTTCGCTGGTGATACAGCTTCAATTGTGCCATTTATCCAGTTGATGTCTCAACCTGTTAAACGGAAACTAAAAAGTCTCATGAAACTTCTTGTTTGAAAAGATAATCAAGAGTACCCTCGAAGAGACGCCCCCACTTGCACCTTCCAAATGATGTTCACTGCCTCCAGTATATCCATGTTGCTAGGTCAACTTCACGAGAAAAGTTTCTTTTTCAATCCAGGTATATACCTCTAAATGTATACTTTCTTTTACAAGCTAATAATGCCAAATGCGTTCTCTATTTCTAACCTGCACTATGACTTCTTTAGCAACATAAAGTATAGAGCACGGGTTAGGACACACACACCACACCACCACCACCACCATCATCATCACTTTCTGGACCTTCAACAAGTTTTTAAACTCTCCAAGACTCAATTTTCTCCACCATAAAATAAGGTTATAAAAAAATCTACCTCAGAATTATTGCAGCATTTAAAAATATAACGTGAGGGCTTCCCTGGTGGCGCAGTGGTTGAGAGTCTGCCTGGCGATGCAGGGGACACGGGTTCGTGCCCCGGTCTGGGAAGATCCCACATGCCGCGGAGCGGCTGGGCCCATGAGCCATGGCCGCTGAGCCTGTGCGTCCGAAGCCTGTGCTCCACAACGGGAAAGACCACAGCAGTGAGAGGCCTGCGTACCCCCCAAACACAAAAAAAATAAAAAAAAATATATATATATATATATATATATATATATATATAAAACATGAGAAAAATGCTTTACAATACAGAAGAGCCATTAACATTCACGGAGGCAGTTGGTAATTACAGGCTAAGTTTTATCTTCTTCAACTTCTCTCCATGTACCAAACACGGTGTACCTCAGACCAACTTTTCTATTTAATCAAAGCATCATCAGATATTTGAAACTGGGTAAAGTTTAGCTTGTTCAATATGTCTTTGCTAGTTAATGCAAAAAATATGAATACAAAGATAAACACAAATTCTATCTAACGCTTAAGAAAAAGGGCATGTCATAGACTGCTCTTCAAGAAGCAAATAAAACCATGATAAGCAATGAATCCAAAATCCCGGGCTCTAAATGAAATTGAAGCCAATCTCAATAATCCATGAACCCACCTTGTGCTCGCTCGCTCTCTATAACGATACAACTCTCACTTTGCTTAATATACATAAAACAAACTTAAGGCAGGAAAAAAGGAACTTACCCACTAAATTCTCTTTATCCCGTTTCTCTGGGGAGGATGCCCCAGGATCCATCTCATTCTTGAGAACCTTTTATACTTGACAAGTATTCATAGGTTTGGAGCCAGACCTGGGCTCCAGGCAGCACCCAGGTGTGCTTCAGAGAAGGCAGAGCAGAGAGACGGAATGAGAGTGAGAGAAGCTCCTCCTCTTCCGTGAGCACCCTTAGGAGTAGGTACCCTGGTGAAGAAAGCCTGTTAACATAAACAAAATGACCTCTTTCATGAGTTCAGGCTGCCATTGTTCATAGAGAGAACTCAAAACGACGTATATGAACTCCTGACTGTGTTGCTTCTTGTAAAACATTACTATGTAGTTTTCTATATAATTTATATTTTATAAAACACTTCTATGCAATGTGTGCAACTTGTTTATCATTACGAACTGTCCGATACACATGGCACGTATCTCCATCCTCATGTTTCAGATGAGAAAATTTCATCCAATGCATTTTACACACTGCAGTTAGTGATTTTTTGTGTGTGTGTGAGTGATCTTTTGAAGCTCAAATCTGATCATATCTCCATCCTGCTTAAAATAATCCAATGACTGCCAATTATTAACATGTAAAGATGAGAATCCTAAGTATCCTAAAGGACCTGCTAGTCTGTCTCTCCTTCCCTTTCCAGGCTCACTCACATGATACTCCCCTCACGCACTTAGCAAGAGCCCCATTGGCCTTCTGTCAATCCCACTAACCTATGTGTCTTCTGTGCCACAGGGCCTTTGCACGTTACCATATGCATAATTCTTTGGTTCATGTTTGTTTCTTCCTCTAGACCAGGGGTTGGGTAACTATAGCCTGCTGGGCAAATTTGCTCTACCACCAATTTTTGTAAATAAAACGTTATTGGAACATGGCCACGTCTGTTTGTTTCTATATTGTCTTTGGTCACTTTTGCACTAAACCTACCTATTGAGTAGTTGCTATAGAGACTGTATAGCCTGCAAAACCTAACATATTTACTATCTTTCCCTTTACAGAAAATGTTTGCTGACTCCTACACTACATTGTAACTTCCATGAGGGGAGTGGCTGGCTGGGTCTGTTATTTAACACAGCACCTGCAGCATTTAGAACAATGCAGGCACATAACTGTCATCCAACAGTCACTTGCTGAATGCATGAATAAGTAATTTATCAAAGATAACAGCTCACAAATGGCAAAGTTCTTTCTCGAATCCAGATCCCTGGGCTCCTGTCCCAGGAGTCTTTACTTCATCATATTACTCAGAAACAAGGGCAATATTGCACTCATTCCAATACCGAAAGCACCAATCTTCTAATTTTCTAACGTTCATCTTTCTCATATCAATATTCCAAATAATATTTTGTTTGTGGAAACAAACCAACACAAAACAACCTCTGATAGTTCCCAGCTTATCTTTTCTAGTCTTTTCTTTTCTCCCAACCATGTATTTTCTTCTTAGCAACTTCATCTGAAAAAACCTCCCAGATTGTGGGTTACTTTTGCCAACTACTTGATTCATAACTGCCTTCTCCACAAACTCAAATTACGGTAATAACCAGGCAGGGCTGTCATGCACAGTTGGTAATTATAAGCATTAATATGGAATATTAGAACTTGGGGAAAGGAGGCTGGGGACCAGAAACAGATCAAAACAGACACACATGCATGCACAGAGTCAGAGACTTTCAGCTTTAGAATACTTTCCTCTGCTTTCTCCTCATACATCCTTGGTTATGGCTTGATGTGGAAATGATACTACAGGCATAGTGGTTAAGAAGTAGACTCTGGGCTCACGCTGCCTGGATTTAAAGAAATCCTGGCTCTACCGTGAACTAGCTGTGTGACACTGGGTAACTTAACCCCTTCATGTTTCATTTTTTTCTTTTCATCTGTAAAATGGGCATGCTGGTGGTCTTTACCAGAGTTGTCTGTGTGACAAATATGTGAAACAGTGCATGTAAAATACTCAGAATAGGGACTTCCCTGGCGGTCCAGTGGTTAAGACTCCACAGTTCTACTGCAGGGGGCACGGATTCAACCCCTGGTTGGGGAGCTAAGATCCCACATGCCACCCGGCACCGCCAAAAAAAAAATACTCAGAATAATGACTGGCATTAATACATCATAACTATTATTCCCATGAATGGGAGCTGAGCTGTATTTCTCAGGACTCAGCTGTCTTCTTTCTAAAAATGGGAATGCTGGGTTAATTTTCACAATATCGTCTTTTCCCCTTGTTTCAGCTGAGTAGAAGATTGCTTAGTGATTGGATGTGTTCAAACATTCATCACGTCCCTTCTCTCCCTTGTTTAATGCTTCTCCAGTTTGCTGCAAATTTGAAAACTCGAGGTCCGTTCCTGGTTCTGTACTGTCAATCCATAGGCTCCACTGTTTCCCCCTGGCCTCTGCTTGATCACCATGTCACCTTCACTTTGGGACTAACCTCTAATGGAAAGAGCAACATGAAAACTTCCTGTTTCCATCATTTCTTGAGAATAGATCATAGACAGTCTTTCCCTGGAACAGGAAGCTGCTTTCCCTCCGAATCAGATGACCCTCCAAAGTCATGAAAACAACATGTTTTGGAAGTGCCGGTTTAGTTAATTTCTAAATCCATTTCCCCTTAATATTGGCTAGATACCACTTACGCCAGCACCACCAGTCACTGAGGTGCAAGGTTCAAAACAACACTACCAATAATTGTTCCCTGGTGGTGGCTGGAAAGTCTCCAGAGCACTTACAACAAACACATCCCCTTGGAAGATGACTTAACAACTGTTTTTCTTCTTCCTGCAAAATGTTCCAAATATCTCAGCCTAGAAAGCAAGAATGATTTCAACAACTAAGGAACATCTAGGACAAGCTGAGTCCCTCGCCAGGAGCCTCAGGAAACGAATGAAACATAAACCCATTTGCAATGTTTCCTCTTCCTTTGCTAATGATATTAAACCATACATGGGCCAGTTAATGGAATTTTCTCCCCTTTGTCAAGGGGGAGTGGGAGGTAGGGATAAATCAGATTGAGAATTGCCAGAATGCACTTCTGATGAAGATTTTTCTGTGTGTTTCTAAACCTTCATTCTGTCAGTTCCTCAACTAGGCAAAGTCCTGAAATGAGAACAGCTATTTTTTTTAATTTAAATTTTTTTAATTTTTAAAGGTTACTTTCCATTTACAGTTATTTCAAAATATTGGCAATATTCCCAGAGTAGGACAGCTATGTTTTTAAAAGCCTTAATTCTGTTCCTACTCTTTTGACAGGCAGGATGCCATCCCCGAAGATGTACATTTTATTTTCCCTGAACGTTCATCTTCGAGCACAAAGGGATCTTGAAACCATCCACTCTAGCCACAGGCCTCTCTCCTTTTCGAAGCTTCTGGTTTCAGGAACACTCTTCCGCCAGATGCACCCACCACCATCTCTTAAGATGCACGCATCTGCTCCAAGACTTTTGATGGTCCCTTAGGAAAATGTTCCTTGTTCTTTAAATGATGAAGCTCTCTGATTTCATTAACTTTTCATCAATATACATCATCCATTCTGTCTTATTCATTCTCATTCATCGAATTCTTTTTTTTTTTTTTTTTGCGGTATGCGGGCCTCTCACTGTTGTGGCCTCTCCCGTTGCGGAGCACAGGCTCCGGACGCGCAGGCTCCACGGCACGTGGGATCCTCCCGGACCGGGGCATGAACCCGTATCCCCTACGTCGGTAGGCGGACTCTCAACCACTGCGCCACCAGGGAAGCCCAACACTGATTACTTTTAACTCTTACCATAAACTTTATTGAGCATAAATTAAATTTTAAATTTAAATTGAAAACTTATCATAATGCCCCTCCTGAGTACTAGGACCTTGGGGAGATGTTAATTTTGATCATTCTCCCCAACTTACCTGCTGATATTGGCCAATACTTCATCTTTTAGCTGAACCAAATTAGACATTGTTTACTACTATTGTGTCACCTTTAAAAACAACAAAGCCTCATTAAATCTGACGTGGTGTAAAGTCTTTTCTAAAATTCGGTGACAGTAACTATATTTTATAAATGCAGACTAGACCCATCTAGCAAATCAAGTGGTGAAGCTTAAAATTAAGGTTAATCAATTATATGAATTGACTGTGTTTCCAAATTCTATGAAGACTACAGGCCTTTATGGAAAGAGGCCAGAGAGGTCCACTTCTATTGCCTTTTCATAATGGCAGTTCTCGCTGTCTGCATATTGGAATCTCTGCAGTAACAATACAGTTTACTATCTCCAATCCAACCTGCATGCTGCAGCCTGATGTTTGCAAAGTGCTTTCTAATAAATTTCCAAGCTGTTGACCACAGAGCAAACGCCCTGCCCCTCAGCATGGCTTTCAAGGTCATTGGCCATGAGGTCCCTCCCTTGCTTTTTAGATTCATTCAAACTACAAACCTCATTCAACTCTATCCAGTTGTATGATTATCTTACTTCAATAGTCTGTCACCCTTTGGGCCTTTATAAAGTATGTTCATTCTTATTCACCCTTTAAGACTTGAACGTCACTGAGAAATCTTTCTAGATTCCCTCAGGCAGTAAGGTCATCCCCCTCCCATGTATGTTCACAGCACTTGGTAGTACAAGTGGCCTGGTATTGGTGGTAAATGCTTGGTTCAAATTTACCCTTTACTCACTGTGACTTACATCTTGGCTTCTTTATCTGGTTGGTTAGGTTGCTGGTCCTTATCTCATAGGGTGTGAGACACATAAAACCAGGCCCCAGTAATGACTGCAAGTGCTCCAAAAATGCTCTCTTCATTTTTCAGTGCTGAATATGTGGAAGATGCCAGGAATACATCTACAGGACGAGCAGGATGTCATTCCTTTGCTATGATGAGAAGGGGCTTATAGAACAGTAGAAATAAACCTTGTAGTAGCAGCACCATAGAAAGATTACTCATTCAGTAACTTTTTTCTAAATGAACGGTCAACATATATAAGCAATGTATGTACAATATACGATATAATCTTTAAAATGTTTTATGAATGTAGACTAAAAAAGAACAAATGACAACTTCTAAGAAGTGGCATAAAATTAACTATGAGGTTATATTCTGTGTTCAAAGATAATTAAAGGCATAAACAGTCTGTGTCAAGTGTTGGTTATAATATAAGTTTCACGTGAGATATTATTTAAAGGAATGAGCATCAGTAGTAGATACTGACTTTCAACTAAATTCAGACAAAAATGTTCTATATATTAGCTCCAGCACAAAAACTTAAAACACTTACCCAAGCATTGAATAAAACACGTAAAGTATGTCGTATCCATAAGGTTTATTTTAAAAAATTGTTAAAAACTAACCATACAGGAATATTAATATACTTAAAAAGTTTTTTCCCCAGGTTGAAGGAAAATACATTAGCAACATCTTCTAGACACCATCTTTATAAAAGTAAAACTTCTAGATGATGAAATGTACTACAGTAGATTCTATGGTTTATACTTTTAATCACAGGGTTGGAAATCATTCTCCCTACTGCCCTGTCCCCCAAATGTGGCAGCTGTTACCCTTAGACATTCAATCGTGTTAAACTAGCACAGAACCTTAAATAGAATACACACTGCATATTTACTAACAGAGCAAGTCTTTCTATCTGTTGTCACATAATTATTCTAGGTAAGCATGTGATTCTAAGTACAAATAGAAATACTACATCCCATGATTGTAAACATTCACCAAGAGCTTCCAGAGTACAATGAGTAATAGAGGTGGCCCAAGGGTCAGTCAAATGTTCCTCACTCATTTGGATACTGCTGAGATTAAGAAATAAGTTTTGAAGGCAAATTATCACAAGCCTTACTTGTATTTCTGTAAGAAAGTAGTTCTGGATATATATGTTTTTAGTTGAAAACACCTGAAAGTCATTCTAAAGACTATATTAAGCACCGTTTTCACTTACCTGAAATACACTGAGTTAAATTCAGCAGTACACATATGATCATTAATGTCAGAAGTTAAAAATAACGGTGGGTCTCAAGTTCCCTTTTGTGGATACACATGGAGTACGGATACGGAGTTCCAGTGATGCTAATAGGAAGCACTCTTGCATACCAAGGGTAGTAACTCCCCCAAGGCCACATGCAACCTGTTAAGTCTGAGGCACGACTATTACTTCTGTCAGTGGATGCTGTACAAGCAGATTTAAGGCTGTATTCGGCTATAAAGAGTTCAACCTCTTTAGTATTCTTCTTACATAGATCATATACATGATTCAAAATTTCATAGGGTGGGAGGTGAAAAGTCCCCAAATACTTTTTTGTTTGTTTGTTTTTGCGGTACGTGGGCCTCTCACTGTTGTGGCCTCTCCCGTTGCGGAGCACAGGCTCCGGACACGCAGGCTCAGCGGCCATGGCTCACCGGCCCAGCCGCTCCGCGGCATGTGGGATCTTCCCAGACCGGGGCACGAACCCGTGTCCCCTGCATCGGCAGGCGGACTCTCAACCACTGCGCCACCAGGGAAGCCCCCCAAATACTTTTAAAAATACTATTCTCCATACAATTTATTGTCAGCATATTTACATAGGGGAATGTCCATACTTAAAACCATTTTTAAAAAATGTAACCACGTTTTTTAAGCTCTTATCCCAATTTCCCCAGGATTATCCTCATCCTCATTTCCTGACTTTTGGCCAACTGCGCATTTGTCCAATTGTTCACTGCAGTCCTCAGGCGATTCTGATGTTGCCCTGGAGGAGAATATGCATTTAAATGTATTCACTGCCACCCACTCTGGGACAGGCCTGGTTGCAAAGAAAACGGTGTTCCTGGTGTTGAAGGATAACTAGGAAACCCATCCGGCTGAGCTGGGTAGCTTTCCAGAGCTGAAGCTGAGTGGACCTGGTGGACAGATGAACACACAGGTTAGCAGAGTTCTAAATTCAACCAGGCCTGTACTTGCTTTGGCCTGTCCCACACTACAGATATTTAAACCAGGAAAGAAAGAAAAAATGTTGGGGCAAGGGAAGTCTGTTCAGTCTCCTGAAATTTGTAAGAAACGTTCAAACTTCTTCAGATGTAGAGGCGCGTAGAAATGTCTTTAAAATGTTTAATATCCTTTAAAAAAAATCAGCAGGTTTTCTAGAGAAAATTCGCCTTAATGGTCCATTATTTTAGCTTAAACTGTAGAAGACCAGCTAAAATTTCACTGCCACATCTAAAGATTCCATCTGTAAAATCTCCAAACTGAGATTTAAAAGTCTGTAAGCAGGAAAAACAATTCTTACAGATGAAGATATTCTACCACCTTTGTTACCCTTCTGAAAGAAAACAAGAATAATTTGCAGATTCTGGGAGAATTAATCATCCAATCTCCAGATGTTCTGCTAAGAGCCATTTTTTTGGCCAGTGCCGAAATATCACTATTTATCTGTATTGCAAGGTTATCACTACAGAAGCTACGTTACACGTTACCGTTCTATTTCCACCAGGCATTGCCTACTTACCTGCTGTAACAATGCTGACTGTGCGGCTGCATTATGCTGTAATTCCTGCAAGGATGATTGTGAAGGATTCTGGGAAAACCCGGGGATACCGGGGAGGGACAAGAGGCCTGGAAAAACAGAACTGCCTGCAGCTTGAAGTCCAGATGATAAGCTAAAACGATAGAAGAACAGGCCAAAACGCAAATAAGGGGACTTCCCTGGTGGCACAGTGGTTAAGAATCCACCTGCCAATGCAGGGGACACGGGTTCAAGCCCTGGTCCAGGATGATCCCACACGCCTCAGAGCAACTAAGCCCGCGAGCAACAGCTGCTGGGCCTGCACTCTAGAGCCCGCGAGCCACAACTACTGGAGCCTGTGCGCCTAGAGCCCGTGCTCCTCAACGAGAGAAGCCACCGCAATCAGAAGCCCGCGCACCGCAAGGAAGAGCAGCCCCCCCTCGCCAGAATTAGAGAAAGCCCGCGTGTAGCAACAAAGACCCAATACAGTCAAATAAATAAATAAATAAATTTAAGAAAAAATGCAGATAAGACATAAAAGCTAGTGCTTCTATATTTGTCAAATACTATCTTAAAATGTTTAAAAAAAAAACCTGTTCCCTGTTGGAACCATAAAAGTCAGCCACTCACTGATATAAAACTTTCCGTTATAAAGTGTATTATTCTGAATTCAGTGAGTTTATGCTTGCTGTTTTAAAATCAAGATAAATTACCAAATACAAATCCTAAAATTATCTGAGCAGGCATTGTTATTTTATATATTTATCTTAACATAAAACATTTTTCGAGCACCTAAGTGCCGACCCAGAAAAACAGAATTTCGCACCACCAAACAACTGGATGCCGATTTTCATCTGAATGACTTCAAAACAAGAGCATGAACGAGTTAGGTGAAGGATGCTTTCCCCCCCCAGACCATCCACCTACCCGGCTTGCGCAACCAGAGCGGAGTTGAAACTGGAACTAAAGGCGGAGGCGAACCCGGGGAGGACGGGAGCGGGCGACGGGGCGGTGGCGGCGCCGGTGGCGGGCGGCTGCAGCCCCGGGAAAGAGGGCAGCGCGGGGGGCGCGCCAGAGACGGAGAAGCCGGGATAGGAGGGAGCCGAGGCCGGCAGAGGTCCCTGCGTCACGGAGAAGAGCGAGGGCACGGCGGCGGGCACGCTGAGTGGGAAGGCCGCCGCCGAGGCGGGCACCGAGGGGCCGGGGGCGCAGTTGGGGGCGGACGAGGCGGGGGCGCCGAGGGGCGGGTGCGCAGCCTGGGCGAAGCCGCTGCTCAGCGAAGTGAAAGGGGGCAAGGCGCTGAAGACGGGGGCGATGGGCGCGGAGGAGCCGTGCGCAGGCAGTGGGAGAGAAGGCAGGGGGCTCGAGCCGCTCGGGGTCACGCTCAGGCCCGGGAGGCCCGGCAGCGCAGGGGCGAGGCAGGACGGTAAACTGACGGGCACCGAGGCCGCCGTGTACGCCCGCCCCAGCGCCCCTGGCAGGCCCAGCGTGCCCGGAGCGGGGGTGGGGGGCGGCGGGGGCGCCGGGCCCCTGAAGGCAGAAGGAGTAGGGCTCGCGGGCTCGGTCTTGATCACCACGGGCAGGCTGGTGGCGGCGGGCGTCGACGAACCGTGCGCGTCTGCGTGACTCGCGAGCGGGCCGTGCAGCAGGGTGGCCGAGGAGCCGCAGCCGACGGGCCCCGAGGAGGCAGCGGCGGCGGGCGCAGGCAGAGCCGGGGGCGTGGAAGCCACGTTGGCCGCCGGCGAGGGCAGGCCCGGAAACAGGGCCAGTCCCGGCGTGGAGGCCCGCTGCGGGCCGTAGCCCTTGTTAAGGGCGGCCGCCGCAGAGTCGGAGCTCTGGTTAGTGAGGGAGGCGAGGGAAGCCAGCCCACTAGTAACGGCGCAGGGTAACGTGGAAGAGTTGATGAGGTTGGTATCATTTGATGTCAGAAAGCCTTTTAAAGCAGACAGAAGGGGATTATTTACACCCAGTGGACAGGCAACAGTGGGAGCAGAACCGCAGGCGATTACAGAAGGAGTCGGGTTGGACACACCTTGGGAGGTCGGTGTTAAGGTCAAGGGGAGACCAGCAAAAACCGATGCCAGTGAGGAGGAATCGAGGTTGTTGGTAGAAGCGGCAGTAGAGGTGGCGGCAAAGGGGAGGCTAGTGAAAGGGGCAGAAGTAGAAGCAAATGTTTCACTGGAAACAGGGGTGGCCCGAGGTGTAGATGCGGCCTGAGGTGCTGGGGTAGGGGTGGCAGAAGGACCTGGCAGTGGAACGTGGCCAGAAAAAACAGAAGGAACGGGAGCAGATGTGGTGCTGTGAACAGAAGTCACCGGTGCAGCCAGCAAGGAAAGGGTTCTGATAACTGTTGGATTGGGTGTCGTCGGCTGAGGTGCATGAACAGCTGAGACCTGCCCCGGGAGCACAGGAAGGACAGTGTTCAGCAGGTTCATCCCAGGGAGGGCGGCAGTGGCCGATGCCGATGGATGATTTACTGCCTTGACCGGGGAAGCAGCAGGAACAGGAGTTGCCGCAGGTGTTGAAGGGTTAGAGCCACGAGGAGAAAAGAGCTGACTTGCTGGGGCAGAAAACGCTGTGGCGGGAGAAAGAGAGGCAAGATTTTACCATCACGCTGAAATGTCAACTTTTAACTCAAAAGAAATGAATGAAAATTTTTGTAATATTTAACAAATGTCAGAGAAAATCAATGACAGGTATACTAGGCTATTGCAATGTCTACATTGCTGGATTCCATCACCCTGATTTTCACCAGGGAGCCTCAGTTAGATCCAGCTGAGTTCTAGACTCTGCTCAGAATAGCCTTCCAATTCACAGTGAGGAAGCCTTGACAAGTGAGCAAATAAACTTTCCTTTCAGTTTCCCATTTTTTTCTTTAAAAAATTCAAAGAATTTACTTTAATTGTGATTAGCGTTGGTGTACTTTTAATTCTCTCAAACCACTTGTCTAGAGTAATAATACAAGTCATTTCCCCTCTTAAGAGCTTTCAGGACATCATTTCATCATTTTTAGAGGCATACAAGGCCATCTAGGATTCAGGCCATCTCTCCAGTATGCCTGGTTGCCACTCTGTGAGTTGAATTTAATATTCCAGATGATCAATCTATCCAGTTTTTCCCCCAAGCATTCTCTCATATTGACTCCTCTACATATCTTAACCTCTAACTTTACTTGGCTGGTCCTAGGAGCCCCTTTAGCAGCAAAGGCCTTGACTAATTCATCTTTGAGTCTTCATGCCTAGCCCAGCGCATGACATCTGTGTGTTATTTAATAAGTGTTTGCTGCACTAGATATATCATGATTACTTCAACTACAGTCCTCAAACCCACCCAAAGACTTATTCTCAAGACTTCTAGAGTTTGCTACAATACTTTCATTCCGATAAACTCTACAAATCATACAAGCATTTTGGGGATGATCTGGGTTTCCTCCCTGAATCAGTTTAATGAAAGCGTTGGCCTCTGATGATCTTGCTGGTGCCAAATGGAATGCTATACTGCTATACTCACATCAGAGTCTGTTCAGCTGTAAACAGAATATTCCTTTTGCAGGGATAATCAACTGAAAGACATTTTCACGGACTAAGACTTAAATTTTTAAATCTATGCAAAATAAAGACTCTGGACATAAGGAAGCTCACATGGTCAATGAAGTAGTGCACTGTGTTAATCGTGGGTGGAGAAGGGACCATAGGAAAAGAACAGAGGAAACCCACCTCTACATAATTCATTTGTACTAAGTGATGGCCAAAGGGTGCCGCCTTGGGCTCAACAAATTTTACAGCTGTTTTAGAAAATAAATACGATAGGAGAATTGACAAATAGTAATATATAAATATATAAACGTCAAACTCAAAAGATCTGTAGTTCATACCACAGTCATGTCATAAGCAGTTAATTTAGTATCAAGAAAGATTGCTATCAATTTAAATTTAGAGTATATATGAAAATGGACTTGTATCTTTGTTTGTATTCAATTTGTTTTACAAGAATTAGAAGCACAAGGAATATATGCCCAGTTTTGTGTGTGTAAATAATGTATCAAAAAATTATTTAGGTTAACATTGGTTGGGAAACATTCGGTTGGGAAACATTTGAGAATTCACTGTCTTATTTAACTTCATGCTGAGGACCATGTAGTTAATGACAGATGGCAAGGTAAAACCAAGCTGTCCCACAGTGTTCTTTATAGCGGCCTCTGTTGGAGATCTTTTCATATAATAACACAAAAGCGATGTACTATTAATCACAGTGCCTGCAGTTACAATGAAACACAACAAAAATGAATTCCTCAAAACCATACCAGGAGAAATATCACTTTCCTGTCATCTAATTTGGTTGTTAACCATAAAACACTATGTGTTAGGTCCTGTGCTAAGTACTTACACCTGTCATTTCATCTGTCCTCACGTAACCCCCACCCCCCGAGATAGGCACTAACACCCCCATTTTATAGATGGGCAACCTCAGCCTTGATGTGATTAAGCAACCTGTTAAAAGATCACGCAGCTATTAAGTGGTGTTCAAAGGATATAAAGTTTGTTATGCAAGATGCATAAGTTCTAGAGATCAGCTATACAACATTGTGCCTACAGTTAACAATACTGTATTATGTACATAACAATTTGTTAAGAGGGCAGATCTCATTAAGTGAGACCTTATCACAGTAACGATGACGATGACAATGATGATAAAAAGGTCATGCAGCTATGAAGTGGTAGAACCAAGATTTGAACCCAGGTCTATGAGACCCTTGCACTTAAGCATTATACTAGTTGGTATTTATTTTTGTTTCTTAATATGGTTCAAAAAGGAAAAAAGAAATCTTAATCATGCTAATGTAACAGCAAAGGAAAACAAAGTGTGTTATTCCTAACAAAGGAATGACAAAGGAATAACTTATGACACTTAATCTGCTGCTTCTCCTCAGAAACAAATCTTTTTTTTTTCTTTTTTTTTCCCGGTACGCGGGCCTCTCACTGTTGTGGCCTCTCCCGTTGCGGAGCACAGGCTCCGGACGTGCAGGCTCAGCGGCCATGGCTCAGGGGCCCAGCCGCTCCGCGGCATGTGGGATCTTCCCGGACCGGGGCAAGAACCCGCGTCCCCTGCATCGGCAGGCGGACTCTCAACCACTGCGCCACCAGGGAAGCCCAGAAACAAATCTTCTAATGAAGCTGAGCATAAAGGCTGAAGTTTCCTTAATCTCTTTTTCATAGAAGCTACATAAGCTGCTCAAGGTTACAAAGCTGGGTGGTGCCAGAGCCAGGACCAAAAACTATATGTCCTGACATCTCAGTGTCCTTGCCACCCTGCTATGCTACCTCCTTAGAATCTACCAGCTAAAAAGCACTGTTTCGGCACATTCTTAGGGAATGGAATTCTCCCACCGAGACTCCTAACCATGCACCATAACGATTAGATTCATGTGCTAATTTGCTACACAGGAACTGGTCCAGGTTTTGTCTCACAGCAGAAAGCACCTCTTTCCTGACCACGCGTATCTTCTACTAGGGGGAGAATAAACTGATACAGTGCTGCTGCCACCTGCAGGCACCAGGGGCCACGTCTCACCTTCCTCTTCCAATTCCACTTTCTGCTCTGGTGCCCTGTCTTCTTTCCTTAAATTAAATTATTTCTTCTTTTCTTATATTAAATTACACTACCCCAAATACTTATTGAAATAATCAAGTCTAAAAGGTATATCTGACATAACATTTGTCAAAAAGGGTTTTTATCAAAAAGAAATTGTTTATATAAAAAATGAGGCTTCAAATATCACATAATATAAAGTGAATGCAGATATAATGCCACCTAGCACTTTGATTGCTTGAAAGTTTTACAAACAGGATACAAAGGCATATGGTTATTTTTAAATCCAGTGAGTATGTGCATTTCATGTTGTATGTATAAAATGTACTGCTATTAGCCACTTTCAGCAAGTATCAATTAGTTAAAATTTTTAACCAGGAACTTTCCCTAAAGCATAAAGATTACAAATACACTCAACTCAAACTGATCTCAGTGAATAACAGAGCAGGCAGCCAGGACAGACATCAGTTATCTCTGGATCAAATTTGGTACTTACCTGGATTCTGTGTAGGTTTTGACTGATTGGAAAGGTCTTCATTCTCTATATGAAAATAAATAAATAAATAAAAGTTGATTTCAAGCTTTAAACAAATTATTCACCATCATAATAATCAGAGACTGGGGTCAAAAAAAGAAAAATCCAGGATATGTATGTATACTGTGTTAGGAAAACAACATATGCCTATAGAAAAAGAAAGAAAATGAACAAAAATCATAGTAACTGTATGAAGGTTGCTAGGATGATGAGCAACTGATTCCCACCATTTCTCCTTATCTTAGCAGGCTTTAAGCAAACACTGTTACTTTACAGATATATTCAAGAAAACTTTGGGGAAAGATGATGGCCTGAGTGTGCCATCTAGGAGAAGGTGCAGCAAGAGGGCAGTGACGAACCACTGTCACTGGCTAGGCCGACAGTCACTGCTGGGCACCAGTGCCTACAACAGGGAGGAGGCCTGCAAGTGGAAGGTGGATGCTGAGGGCAGAATCTACTGCCGTCTGAGGAGCCCGAATCACGAGCCATGTGGATCACAAAGCAAACTGAAGGAAAGTGGCTCTGCCTACCTGCTGTACTCAGCTCTGGAAAAGACCCTACGCTAGGAGGTGTCAGGGAGAACTACCCTAGTTGAGGCTGGCTTGAATCCTGTGAGACCGAAAACCTAAAGCACACTCCTCCCCACTCCCACGGGAAAGGACCTGTCTAACCAAACAGGTCAAAGATGCCAATGGAAAAAAATGACCTCGCATGGCTTGACAATAACTGCCCAAGAAACCAACAGTGTGACAGGCATAAGGTGCAAAGGGAACCCCCAAGCCCTGACATGGTGAGCAAAAATGATCACAGCTTGTATAAGGGACTTAGTATAAATAAACGACTGAACAGATGGTGTCTATCAACGGAGAGTCCATGAAAGAAAGAAAAAGAACTTTAAAATCCTGTAATGCAGATTAAGAACATATATATATAAAATACTGCAAGAAAAAACTGCAAGCAGAGATGAAGACTTTAGATATAAAAATCTAACTCCAAATTAATAAATGCAAAGAATGATGAAGATTAGAAATAACATTGCTGAAAGCTAAATTACTTAGTTGAAAATAAACAAAAATTCCATTTAAAATGGCAAAAATACAAAAAAAAGTATCATAAATGAATAGCTGAGAGACTTAAAATAAATACAGTGCAAAAGAAGAGTATTAGGAGAAAAAAAAGAACAGATGAAGAAGCATTAATTAAAGAAATATAAGAACAAAATTTTCCTAAGCTTTAAAGACTTGAGTTTTCATATCCACAGGGCTTAAAGAGTTCCAGGAAAGATCAACGATAAGATCCACACCTAGGTATCCTGGCAAAATATCTGAACTCCAAGATTAAAGACATTTATGAACTCTGAAGATAAGGAATATTTTCTTTGTAAGCTTATAGAAAGAGACTACAGTTCTAATAAAGAAAAGAAAACGGGAATTGGGTTTCTCATCTACAACCCTACACATGCACCCTTTTTGAAAAAGCTACTTAGAGAAATTTTCTACTAGATGAAAATTAGAATGAGTATATGAGGACAGGGCATCATAGGAGAAACAGTTAAGAAGCCATGAGTTCAGAGGCACAGAAAGAAAAATGTATAGTAGTCCATCAAAATACACAAATTGATGAAAAAGGAGAGGGAGTAAGGAAGCCAATCGTGGAACGTAGGACAGCTGTTTTTAATTTCTGTACACTGACAACCATTAAGAATATGAAGGCAGTCACTAGTGATATTAAAGACAGAAATTCTAAGCTTGGGTAGGGGCAAGGAAACAAAAGTTGTTAAAAAATTAAAAAGCAATTTAATCCAAGTAAACAAAAATAAAGAAAATTAAAACTAGGAAAAAAGAATAATGATGAGTACAAAATTAAAATGGAAGGCCTAAGAACAAACATGTAATTTTTATGATTATCAGAAATTCCTATTAAGTCTCTTCCCCACTGGTTTAAAAACTCAGATTCCAGCTATATATAATTTACAAAACAACTAAACAAAGCCAAATGAACAAAACCCTAAAAAAAAGAAATTTGAAAATATACAGGCAAAACACTTTTGAAAAATGAAAACGAAAAGGAGGACCCAATAAGGGTCCCAATAAGGCCAGAGGGAAAGAAGTTATAGTAAAGTGTAAGTCAGCTGACATTTTATATCCAGAAAATTCAAGAGACTTTCCAGAAAAAAAAAGTATAATAGGGAATCAGTAGTAAGTACCTAGAAATGAAATATCCATTTATAACTGTAACAAAAACAAACAAAAACAAACCCTCTAAAATCCCGAGACACAAACCTAAGGCAAAGAAGCTGTATGAAGAAAACAAAATCTTCTTGAAAGAAGCAGAAATTAACACAACATTGTAAATCAACTATAACTCAATTAAAAAGCAAAAACAAAAAAAACTTCTTACAAGGCCTGGGGGAAAAACACTACCATTTGACAGGATTTAAAGCCATACATATGATTGAATGGTAAAACTTAATATCGTAAAAATGTCAATTATCCCCAGATTACTATGTAACTATAAATTCAACTCTTTTTTTTTTTTTTTTTTTTTTTTTTTGCGGTACGCGGGCCTTTCACTGTTGTGGCCTCTCCTGTTGTGGAGCACAGGCTCCGGATGCGCAGGCTCAGCGGCCATGGCTCACGGGCCCAGCCGCTCTGCGGCATGTGGGATCTTCCCAGACCGGCGCACGAACCTGCGTCCCCTGCATCGGCAGGCGGACTCCCAACCACTGTGCCACCAGGGAAGCCCTCAACTCTTTTTAACTGCATAAAATGACCTTAAAGTTCAGATGGAAGAACCAATTTCCAAAAATGGATAAGAAAAGTATGAAAATATAGTGAGAGAAAGCTAGCCTTAGCAGATGTTAGAATATACTATAAATCTGCTAATCAAAACAATATGGTATCATCACAACATAAAGTCACTAGATTGGAACAGAATAAAGAACCCAAACAGGGCTTCCCTGGTGGCGCAGCGGTTGAGAGTCCGCCTGCCGATGCAGGGGGCACGGGTTCGTGTCCCGGTCCGGGAGGATCCCACATGCCGCGGAGCGGCTGGGCCCGTGAGCCATGGCCGCTGAGCCTGCGCATCCGGAGCCTGTGCTCCGCAACGGGAGAGGCCACAGCAGTGAGAGGCCCACGTACTGCAAAAAAAACAAAACAACCCAGAACAGAGCCATGTGTGTAAATGAAAACTTAAGATAAATGTATTATTTCAAATCACCAGGGAAAACAGATTAGTTAATAAAGACTGCTGGCACGAATGGACTGACTACCATCTGCAAAAAAAATTAAGATGAACCTCTATTTCACCCCTATGTGAAAATAAATTCTAGAGGGAGTAGGAATCTTACAAGGCCTAAATTACCTGGACTACCTAGGGTTAAGAATTTCTAAACTAAGGTAACTCGGTTCCAGCTTTTCTTTCACAGCCTCTATCTGTCTATGCAAAAATGTAAAACTCTAAGGGCAAGAGGTACCATAAACAAGGGCAAGAAATAAAATGACAAATTTTGGAAAAAATGTTCTGCAACTTTAGTCAGAGTACTCAGCTGCAAACAACGGAGCCACTCTGGCTAGAAAAAAAGAATTTATTAAACACTAGAAAGTAACTTTGAGTCTCTGGGAAGGGCAGAATTAAATTAACACAGAACTTACTTTAAGTTCTATCCCTACCCTACACATATACAGAAATAAATGGCAAGTGAATGAAAAGCTCTACATTTAAAAAGAATCACTACAATAGTAATTAGAGAATGTAGATGTCACAATGTTGAAATGGGAAAGGGTTTCCTAAACAAGACATAAAATTCAGGAGAGTCAAATAAACAATAACTGATCGAAATAAAAATTAAACTTTTGTAAAAGACAGACAAAAGGAGAAAGCAGCTAAATCAGCCTTATCAGATTGGCAAGAGTAAAAAAGAAAAAAAAAAGCCCCAAACTGATAATACCCCATTTTGAAAGGGGGTGAAGAAACCCTATGCTCACATACCTTCACTGGTAGGTATAAACAGGTGCAGTCTTTTTGGAAAACAATTTGACAAGATAGAGAAAAATATTTACACTCCGTATCCCGTATTCCCAATGGGCCCAAAGAAAAAGGCTGAACTGGAATATGCTGGGGAGGTCCAGCCCTTCTGAGCACCTTCTTACAAGCCTTTCCTTGCCACGGCAGACAGAATGTGCCCAAATGGCGACATGCATTAAGTCGGTGATGCTTTTCCACAGCCTGTCAGTTTCCTGCTCATGAAGAATGGTTCTTGTTTCTACAACCTGCTCGTGTTCACACATGTGGGCCGAGGCTGCTTTAGTGGAACCTGTATGTTGCACTCAGATCCATCATCATGCTCCGGGGCTGTGCTCCCTGTTAGGACATCACCGCATCCCACAACTGCCCCCTCCAAGTGTACCATGTACAAGTTATTGACTTTTAATACCCCGTAACGACATGATTTTACCTGCTGCTACTGGATTAGGAGTATATGGAGGTGGCGGGGGCACACCTGGAGCTATGACATTGGCTAATGGTACCAGACCTGCATTGTTATAAGCACCTAAAATAAAAAGATAATAGAAAAAAAATATAAAATTTAGCATCATTCTGAGTTCAAACTGTATTGACGCAGCTATCTCATTTATTTCTAAAACTGTTATATAGTACAGTTGCATTTTACACAGAGGCTTGGGTCTATGGTTGAGTGAAAAGTGAGATCAAATGAGACAACCAGAGACTTCTATTTCCCACTGCAGGCTCACTCCAGACATAACTCACTGCAGGGCATGGTGGGCAGAACCGGCCAGATTTAAATTATCTGCCTTTTCTGTCAAGCAGACACACTCGGCCTTTTTAAGTTAAATGCATTAATGATGCCTCTGAATACCAACTATCAAAAAGGGATTCAAGATCATTTACCCATAAGCAAAAACCCATAAAAATAATTAATGATGAGAAGTAATATACAATTAATTTATCAAAAGGAAAATATCCTAAATAAACTCTGTCTTCTCCATTGTTGCAGACCAAGACACACGGCAAAATAAAGCTCATGACAGCATATTTCATAAGTGCTCCAGATTTCCAAAGTACATATATCAACATTTACTTTCAACTTAATAAAGAGCAAAAAGAAAAAAAAGTAAAGTCTGAAAGAGCGCCTTACTTGGTGCAATAGTTGCATGCGGCCGGCATGGAGGTATCGGATAAGGAACGGGTTTATGTGGATTGTATGTTGAAGGAGGCTAAATGAGGGGGAAAGTACAGCAGTTAGGAGAAAATCAAGTAAGCCGTCTCCTGGCAAAACAAACTACAACTTGTCTTTCAAAACGTTTAGGCCTAAGAGGCCAAAAATGCCCCAGCATATCAAATGCCACTGCACTAATACATGGTACAAGTGAGGAAAATGGCTTTAATAAATGTGGTTCCTATTAAATTCCAAAGATAGATCCTGCCAAAGACGGCTGTGGAGGTGTTTATTTTTTAATTTCAGTTGTAAATCATCTCCAGCAAAGGGCCAAACCTTATCCTAAACAGCAGATTCTTCTCTGACCCAGTCTATATTAATCCAAGAATTCCTATCTCCTCCTATGGAACAGCTACTCAAGAACTTCCAACATCCTCCTGAGAATTCATCTTATCATTCTTACCCTCTTTTCTCCTTTTGGAAGAAAAAAGCACTACTTCCTTTAGCATCTGGCGTTCTGACAACTCTAGTAGAACGTAGACTGGAATTATGAATTCAGTAACTTAGTCTTTTTGCCTTTTGAAATCCACAAATCTTTCATTTTAGAGTTGATAGAACTTATGTAAGTAACAAGGAACATTCAAAGGGTTGATCTCCAGAGAACCGGAGGTATCCAAAGATAGGCCACATGCTGTACTTTTAACTACAGAGAGAGAGAGAGAGAAAGACAGACAGAGAGAGAGGATGCTAGAGCACGCACACCCACTCGAGGCGGCTGGCACTCACGCTCCTGCAGCAGAGGGGATCCACTGGTGGTTAGGGACCCAGACTCTCTCTAGTGCTCATTAACGGCAGCCCTGGATGAGGTACTAGTCCTGCACGAGGGCTATGATCTGTGACTACCTTGCTATAAACAACTGCCACTGGAGTTCTTGGCAGGTGGGCAGGCGGGACTGCAGAGTGGCTGTGTGGAGGCCTCCAGTACGTCAACTCCAACAATCCTTCAACCCACGGGCTTCTCTTCTCCTGTTCAGTTCATATTCCAATCAATCATTCTAACCACTCCCTTGAAAATAATCTCCACCTCCTAGCTCCATTCTTACTTCACTAACACTAATGCTAATTCAGCCACCAAACCACAGCCTTCGTTAAAGTGAACTCTCCGCACTCCACATGTCCAAGCAAACAGCTGAATGTGGCTGCAGCAAAAAGTAAAAACAGTTCATCTGGTCTACCTTTAAAATAAGATATTAAACTTCAATAGGGCCCTTAACACTGTTAAACAAGTTTACTATATTTCCCTAGGCCATTCCCTTTCCTAGAGTTTCTAGTATACTTTAAGCTTCACAACACAAAAATGAAACTTATGCCTTGAACAGACAGAAAACTAAATGTAAGAGTTAAGACTTGTTCCATCATTTATTTTCTAAACATACTGGTTTGGACGGTCCAAGAATCCGTGCAGCTATTCCTTTGCCTTCGTTGGTACACTCTTCACCATCTTTCTTCAAAGGGGTTCCCTATTAAAAGAAAGAAAAAGGAAAGATAATTGAGACTTAAAAAAACCCAAACAAACCCAAAAGCAAAAACAGAACAAGACATCCACTGTATTACACAGAAAAGGATGTAACTTGGCAGGAGATTAAGGACTTGAATTGCAAACCCAATCCTGCCCCGGCTGCCTGATGCTGACAAAGTCCTCGACCCTCCTCTGCCACAGAACCCTCATAACACGTACAGAGGTAGAAGGAAACACACAATACACATGGAGATGACAGAAGAGGATAAAGTATGTTCTAATTTTTTTGGGCTTCCCTGGTGGTGCAGTGGTTAAGAATCTGCCTGCCAATGCAGGGGACACGGGTTGGAGCCCTGGTCCGGGAAGATCCCACGTACTGCGGAGCAACTAAGCCCATGAGCCACAACTACTGAGCCTGCGCTCTAGAGCCCACGAGCCACAACGACTGAGCTCGCATGCCACAACTACTGAAGACCGCGCACCTAGAGCCTGTGCTCCACAGCAAAGAGAAGCCACCACAATGAGACGCCTGTGCACCGCAACGAAGGGTAGCCCCCGCTCGCCACAACTAGAGAAAGCCCACGTGCAGCAATGAAGACCCAACACAGCCAAAAATAAAAATAAATAAAAATAAATAATTTTATTAAAAAGAAAAAAAAGTACATTCTAATTTTTTCTCTGTGCAACAGGAACAGCCAGAGACAGACCTCCAGTGTTACAGTATGTAACGCTCAAAGAATCAAAAAGAGTTCTTGTATTACAGTTGAAAATAAGTAATAAAAAATGGTGTTTTCTATAAGCAGTAAGTGTGATAGCTTATACCAACCTCATTCAAGTCTGCTGTAATTAACAGATCAAAATAAGTTGACACCCTATTACAACGTGTCCCCCCGATAGCATGTGTTTTAAATGGTACATACTAGTATGGAAGCCAGCTTCCAAGGTGGCCCCCAGTGACCCTCAGCTCCTACTGCCCTTGTGCAGCCCTCCAGTCCTTTTATACAGGACTAACGTGTATAAAAAACAGGATATTCCAGAAATGATGGCCGTTGACTCCCAAGTCTGAGTGATAAGAGAAAACACAGCTTCCGCTGGCCTTCTCCGGGACGATCTGCTCTGGTGGAAGTCAGCTGCCATGTCAGGAGGTACTCAAGCAGCACTAAGGAAAAGTCCTTATGGCAAGGAACAAAGACCCCCTGCCAACAACAACACTAATTCGCCAGGCATGTGAGTGAGCCACCTCGGAAGCTAGGCTTGTGTTTCAACCAAGCCATCAGATGACTACAGCCTCATGAGAAACCCTGAGCCAGAACCAAGCTAAGCCTTTCCTAGATTCCTGATACATAGAAACTGCATGAGATACTAAATGTTTACTGTTTCAATCCACTAAGTTCTAAGGTTATTTGTCACACTGCAATAAAAATATACCATTCTATGAAAAAATTATTTCACAAAGAATTCTGAGGAACACTGGATGATACAAAAACAAGTGTATTTCTTACGGGACTTCTCCGAGCCTTTATTATGCAACATGATTCTCCAGGAAGGAGACGCTGCATTCAGTTTCCCAAACACACTTAACTGTGAAACTGTCTGCAGAAAACCGAGAATTTGAGAAATACTCCTTTACTACATGTAAATCAGTGCTTCTAAAATACTTGGAAAAATAAAACCAAATCATCCTCTTTTCCATTTGGCTTGTTCTTCTCTACATTTTACGCAAATAGTTTAATACAGCTTATGTATGAACTTTCATTCAGTAGTGAATCTATGAACTACGTTGCTGACATAGCAAAATCCCTTTCCTTTGTAGACACGTCATCAACTGGCATTTTCTTTAAATATCATTAACTATGCTCAATTTCATATGAAGAGGTCTTGTATATAGCCACAAAAGTATACTTACTGGGAAAATTCCATTTATGCGACTAGGTTTTCCTTTGGGATATGGATTTCCTGGGATTGTTCCACAAGAAGATATCATAGCATGGGGAGCTTTGCAGCCCGCCTTGAAAGCCTGTAAAATGACAAAGAAGAGGGTGGTTAAAAAAAAAAAAAAAAAAAAAATCAAATAAACTCACAAATTAAGTATTCTGGATGTTGGGAAGCCCTGCTAAATAACATGAATTAAGGAACAGCATCACATTCAATCTGTTCATACATCAATCAGCACTTCCACTGGTGAACATGACCAAAATTAATAAGTAAAAATCACTTCATTTAATGGAATTATTTAAATGGTAATAATGTTTTTAATGTCACAGATAATAGACTCCTATACAAAGATATCTTCACAATGGATTTTGTAAATTGTGTGCAAAGAAGTCCACTTACTATTTGATATGTTTCATTTCTCCAACGACCAAGAAATAACACTGTCCAACTCAATAAACACCAAGCTCACATTACAGGTAAGGCAAAGAGAGCACAGCCATGAAAGAGACATGGTCTCCACTCTGAAGAAGTTTACATAACTTAGTGGATAAAACACAAACAACAACATGGGACACTGGGTGTCCAAAGAGCTATACTGATGAAAAAGTAAGAGTTCTCTGGGTACCAGTGTTCAACATAATGTTACATAATTATGAGATACACTGAAGGATGAGATCTTGGTCTAGCTTATTTATTATTGTGTCCCCAGCTTCTGAAATGGTGCCTAACACATACTGAATTAGTGCTCAATAAATATTTATTAAAGGAATGAAAAGCACTGTAATAGGTGACATATATTCTAATGGACCTATACTGTATAAGAATATCAAGTAAATATACATATGCTGTATTTTATAGGTATATATGATATTATTAGCTATATAATCCAGCCCCGTACTAAACATGCCAACCCTAAAAATCATCTCAATTTTTGGCTATTATAAATAGTACCAGGGTGAGTGCCCTTATATATGAATGTGTATGTTTCTATTTATTTCCTTAGTATAAATTCCTAAAAATAGAATTTTGGGGTCAAAAGGTACGAACATTTTAAAGGCTCTGCAAGTTTGCCTTTCAGAAAAGTACTAATTTACATTGATTAAAGGACCTATTCCACAGAAGACTCAGGCCCAGATTATTTCTGAGATGGCAAAGTCACATGATCAGAATGCTTCATAAGGAAGAAAACTACAGTAGTAAATGCTTAATGCCTTAAAGAATTTAGTCAAAAAACTCGATGAAGTTATTAAAGTAAAGAAACGTGGGCTCAGATCTTGCTTTTGCTACAATAACTTATGACTAAGGCAAGTTCTCCACTCTCCTGCGCTTCGTGGAGGGCGTGAGGATTAAATACGATTGAGCTGCAGCTCCTAGGGGAGCAGTCCATGCCTTCCTCAAGCAGGTTTCTAATCACTAATTCAGTTTCCAACCATCACAATCCTAAGAAATAACTACCTTAAATGACGAATCAAGTTTTCTAGGCTTGGACAAGTACTACTTCCCCCACTCTTACAGATTTTAAATTAAAAAACTGCAATCTTGCTTTGTTACTCATCTTTTATGAATTTGATGAAAATAAGCCCAATGACAAAGCGAATTTAAACAGTCAAGTTCCTAAATACATAAAATGAAAGACAAAAGCTTGGAGCCATGGCAGAGCTACCAAGGGGCCGAGAATAAACACCCCATGAGGCTCACGCTGAGGGCTGGCTTCTCACTCTCAAGCCGTCTCTTCATTCACCAGTGTCCCCCCCGGCCCTAAAGACTGCTGGGGTGTCATTCTTAACCCATAACAGCACTCAGGTTATTCAACAAAGTTAACATAGGAATAAGACTGTACTGTTTTCTTCATCAGCATTCAGAAAAACCAACATACCATTTATAGAGCAATCTTGAGGAAATTACCTGTTCAAGCACTCTCTTGCACCGTTTCTTCTCAGACATATTTATCCTGAACAGATCTTCAATGGGACGAGAATTCTGTGCATCAACAATGTTTCTACCAAGCAAATACAATTTAGCTTTTCATTTAAGAAGCTGGACACACATATTTAATACATAGATATATCTGAGTAAGCTTTTCCCCATGACATAATGAGGAAAGTATGATTATTTAGTTTTAATTGGTGAATGTAAATAACATGTTTATATGAAGATGGTAAATATAATAACTGAACTGACATTTATCTGGCTACCTGAAAGTAACAAAGTAATACTTCAAATAAAAATCACTATTTTGAGATTCTTGCAAATATACCCTCTCAATGAGTGTCAGGAGAGCTACTGGCAACAGAACAAACCCATGTGCTAAATGCCTAAAAATCATGGTTGATCTAAAAATGAAGTTTAACCTTATGCTTCATTTCAATTTTTGTGCTTTTTGGGGTCATTTACAAATATATAAGGGACTTAAAAATGCATATGCTGTAAATAAACAGCAACTTCTAGACTCTTACATTATAGGAGAGTAGGTTCCTTTTCTCTTACATTCATCACAATCCTTTCTCAAATGTCGTGCTGGGTGCTTTCACACATCTTACAGTGTGTAAAGTTCACATCCCTACTAAGTAGATGAGATCCTTATTCTCACAAATGAGGAAAATAAGATCCAGAAAGAGTAAGTATATATTAAGTCAAAAAAAATACACGTTGTCAGAACGTGGAAGAAGCCATCCAACTATAAGTCCTCTGGCTTTATCACCAAGCCTTTCACGTTATTCAGAGTGGGAATGCAAAGCAAGTCACCGAAATGCAGACAAACTGAAATAATTAAACTCGATAAGCCCCACTATTTTATAAGTTATAACCATGTGTAATAAGCACACTAGATACTTAGATATAAGAATTCAGCTCTATGCTTGCATAGTTTTATTAGAGTTCCATTTACTAACATAATTCTGATACATTAACATACACTAATGAGTTAAAAAGCGTTTAAAAAGTCTTCCAAATTTTTCTCCAATGAAGTAAAAAGAAAGAAGTACTTACGAAGCTAGCAGTTCAAGAGCAACTAGCTTGTCTTTACTGAAGGTGAAACAGTTGAGTATATTGACCACTTCTGCTGGGTGAACAGCCACCATTTTCTATTAATATAAAAAATAATGAGAAATTTTTTCAACATGAGAAATTTTCATGCAAGAAACTGCCTTTTGGGGGGAGTGTAATTAAATGTTCTTAATATAAATATTTGAGATGAAAACTGCTTAATCAAAAGTAAGTCCTAACAACTGTGTGAATTAAAATTAGGCTTTTCAACTAACTACTTTAATTGAAGAGCTAAGTTCTCCTATGTGCTCCTTCTTATCCACATTTCTCAATATGTTCATCTATGGAAAAAAAAATTTAGATGCTCTACTTTCCTCAGAAAGGCTATATACAAAGGGATATTTACAACTATGGGAGACACGCTGCTCGAGAAGTTAGAAAAAAATTATATTCCTCAGTTAGAGTGCTAGGTACACCACAATCAGAACTTCCTAGTGAAGTCCATGGCACTGAATAGTGTTATTAAAGAAAGGTACTCCAATGACATCATTGGAGGAAAGATGGGTTAAACAGGTTTCTTTACTGAACTTTCTTAAGAGCCTTGTTAACGTGCACTGTGACAATCCAAGATTGTGTGGACTGTTACATAATTTATTTGCCTAGGATACCTATATCTTTGAAAAGCAGGTAAATTTATAAATGTATGTTAACAGTGCAGGAAATTCAAAAGCAAAGTCAGGATAAGGAGACCAGGTAGAATTAACTGATCAACAAAAGTGGTTTTCAAACACTTTAACTCCTGTACCACCGAAAGAACTGGTAAAACCATATACCCCATTGCGTGTTTTTAAATTGACATCTAAAAATTTTACCAGAAGTTTTACGTACCTGCAAAAGATAGATTTCCTTATATGTAAGTTTATTACATATTTCTGAAAACCTTGGAACTACTGATCTAGTTCATTTACTTTCTGAAAATGTCCATAACAGAACCTGTCAGTCAGTCTTCAGTAGGAAAACAGCCAAATCAGACTTACTCTGTCTATAAGTGCACTATGGTGTGCCTGTGCAGCCTTCTCACCTCTGATTTTTAATTCTAAGGTAGGTGGACAGGCAAGTCAGCCTAAGAGCTTTGTCATGAGTTTGCTGTCCTGATAAAATAAGGCAAGGTCCCCATCAGTATTTCTTACGGAAGCTCCATTTTGCTCTCCCTCTCAGGATAGTGCATTGTCTCTTTGGTCCTTAGAGAAAGATTTTCACCCCTAGCTGATGGGTGAGACAACCTTTTTTTTTTTTTTTTTTTTTTTTTTTGGTAAAGCAGAAAAAAAGCTATTGTTAAAGAGAAGAAGCACTAACAGACCCAGCACTTTCTTAGGCAAATTAGTTTAGGAAGCTAAGGATTGTAGATTTCCTTAAAGCGATCAATGCCTGATACTCCCAGGAAAATCTTCCTATACAGCCAGGTCCTGTTTGACTTTGATGCCTCTGTTAATCTAGGCTCTAGAGCTGTGCTATCCATATAGTAAGTCGCCACTAGACACATGTGCCTGTTTAAACTGAAATTAAATAATACCTTAAAAATACCCTTCCTCAGACAGATGACATGTTTTAAGTGCACAAAAGCCACAGGTAGCCAGTGGTTACCATAGTGGATAGAGCTGATATAAAACATTTCCATTATCGCTGAAAGTTAATTTGGACAGTGTTGGTCTAAAAAATGTAAGTATAAACCAGTCTGACTATTCTTCTAAGACTAAATACAAGAGGGTGAAGATATACAAAAATAAAAGTAAATAAAAATACTTAAGAATTCAAGCCCTGTTTTGCTTGCTTATAAATATTTTCTACTCCAATCTGCCAAGTAGGACCCTGTACAATTTAACAGTACAGTACATACGATTTAAATTTACAAGTTTTAATTTTTTAACATAGTTATTTTGAATAATCAAAGTATAATGAAATTTAGCATATCTAATGGAAACAAATTACAACTTGAGATGAATTAGAGAAAATTAGGGGAGAATTCAAAATAGTTAAATTTTACATTCTAAGGAAAAATACTTACATGCTGTAATGCTTTCATTGCCTTCAACTGAGGCTCAGCCCAGGAGAAATATCTCAGTAAATCAACCACCTGAAAGCAAAGAACTAATTTAGCTCTAATGACAATGTGTTTGCAAACATTTCTCCAAGATGTATTTCAATACTTTGAATTACTATTCAAAGTGTGCCGCCTAGGCCCCAGGGATGAGGCATAAGCATGACACCAGAGTTCAGACTGGGCTGATGGAGCAGCCAAGTGCAGCTACTGAAATTTAAATCAACTGAAATCAAACCAAATCAAAAACTCAGTTCCTTACTGGCACAAGCCATATTTTAAGCGCTCAACAGCCATATGAAGCTGGTAGGTACCATGATGGTTACTGCAGAGAGAGAGCGCATTTCCACCATCACAGAAAGTCTTGGACAGCATTGGTCTAGAATAAAGGAAAGTATAAGGTACAGGAAGAAGAAAGTACCTGAAAAAAAGGAAAGCTGGAAAAGTACTAGATGGAGATAAAAACATCACGTAGGAATATAAAGATACAGTATGAATGGAAAGTTTCAAAACATTTAGCGGAGAATAACAGTTTTAATCAATCACAAAAGGGTGTTCAGTGGTGTGGTTTAGTGCAGGTTCACTAACTTCTACTCTTTAACTCACATCTGGAGGGCATACTACTCTTACTTAGACCACAGATCTATTCCCTAAAAATGTAAGAATCACCCTGAATCACGCCAGCAGCTTCTAAATGGTAAGTCATTTTGAGAGCACAGCCAGCCAGGCTCTCTCCCACTACCACCAGTGAAGTTCAAGTGAACGAGGGAGATACTGTGCAACAGCCAGGAAGAGGTGAGCAGACACCACAATCACAACACTGAAGTCTCTGCGTGGTCACCACCACCTGTGTTCACAGCCTCTAAGGACACCCCAAAAGGGGAAAAAAAGACTCAAGACGAGAGGGTAATAAAATCTGGGTTAATGAATTATTTTACTGTGAGCTCCTAAAAATGTGTTAAGGCTTCAATTATTCCACAAAGCGAGGTTAATGTTAGGAACTGGTGTGGTCTGTGAAGAAGAGTAAAAACACTTTTCACTCCTTAATGAGAGATACATAAATAGCAAACAAGTATTGTGGGTACTTTCTACACAATTTTCTAAGAGTGTATGCCCTTACTCTTATGAGAATAATGTTTTTACTATATACAGTAAATGCTACCTGGGACTTTACCAACCATAAAACTTTATAACTTATCATGTATGATTATTATATTATAATAATCATTATAATAAGCTTAGAAGGTCACACTTAGAAAGTAGCTTGATAAAATTTTTAATAACTTTAGCAAAGTAATTAAATTTTTAGCAAAGTCATTAAATTTCCACAGTAGGAAGTTATCTACAAAATTTCACATATATACACAGAAACACAAAAGAGAAGGAAAGAAAAGCTATCAGCTGTGTGAAATTATAAATCTTTCTCTGAAATATTTAAATTTTTAAAAAAGCATAAGGCAATTCTGAAAAGTAATGGGATAGCTGCAAAACCCTCATTAAATAGGCAGCAACACGTGCCAGTCACAAAGCAGCTTTGAGGAATTCAGTAGGCAGAACTACAGGCTTAAAGTTATTCAAGTTTTGAAAGTCTTGAGAAACAGATGAAAAGCTGGAGCATTTACTAACTCAATCTATAGATTCATCCACTGTCTACCCTACTCACGTTCCCAACCTTTTCTGTTCTTCAGATGTACATTTCCATTTCTGGTCTATTTCTCTATCAAGTATTTTCCAAGTATCTCTTGGAAATCCGGCTTTCTCTGCATATGTGTGTGTGTATATACGTGCAAACCTGTTTTTCAAAATCAGCAAACTCCCCCTGAAGTTGGGTGAAAGTCCCCACTAAACTACCACACTGAAAGTATCAGTCTTCTGGCAGTTACAGAAACTACTTATTAGACGCTATTTTTTTTCTTATTTGCTAAAATTTTTACATAGTGGCTTCATGTAAGAACATATATCACCATTTGTTCAAGTTTTATAAAATGTAGAGAATTTTGCAATTACTGACTCATAAATACTGTACAATTTTGGGTATGTTTACCATTAGAAGTTTACAACATATGATACTGTGCCCAGAATATAAACACTTTGAACTGCTTTCTTCAGACACTGCATTTTAAAATCATGTTAGCATATGATTTCGTGGTGAAAGTGGGTATGTTTATAAACTATCCCAACTATAAATCATGTAAAGTTTTCTGCTAAAACTGAAAGCTTCTGAAGTTCCTGAATAAACACAGCAACAAAGTAAAAGCAATTCTGAACTTGACCAGCAGGTAAATAAAGACACTAATCAGAACATCAGTGTGAAAAAAAAAAGAACAAAAAAAATGCTGTTGCTTAAACAAATAAAGGAATACCTGTTCACTGGAGAAATATCCGTGCACATATTCAATTGCTTTTAATTTGTACTCTGTCAAAACAGCCTAAAAAACATAAAAAACCAGAATGAATATATGTAATCATATGCATATATCAAAGCTGCCTAAGCAACTCAAACAGCCCTGGCACAAGGAGGCCGATAAAGTCACCATGGTGATGTGACATTCTATCTTCCCAAGTTCCATGCTGTAAGGGATACACTGAGACAGCCGGAAAAGCCCCTGGGCCTCCCTACTCACTCCTACAAAGGAAGGGAACAGAATTGTGAGAGATATGATTCGACATTAATAGAAATTAAGTATTCCTGGAAAAGTAATTGTAGTTTTAAAGCATCCAAAATTCAACAAGCCGTCATTTTTAAGGTTAAACATACTACCCATCACTCATTCATCAGATAATTATTTATTGCACACCTATATGTGCTAAGTGATAGAGAAACATGGATAAGACATGGTCTAGTCCAGGCTCTCAGTATTTCTACAGGGATGTGAACCCAGGAGCTAATCTGTGCGCCTGACACTAAACTGGCAGTGTGGCCTCTGAAAGGCATTTTAATTGCCCTGAGAGCCTCCTCACCAATCACTACCCACCTCAGTTACTGTAAGGATTAAAACAGTCGAGAGTAGATGTGACACATAATAGGGAAGTTCAGAGAGAAGTCGATGGCCTTGACCCAGCACTATCTAGCGCCGAACGAAATCATGTATGATCTCCTTGCAACTATATGATAAGCTTACAGATGGAAACACCAGACTATCAAAATTTGGTAACAACTACTCGTTAAAAATCCACTAATCCCCTTTGTATGGTGACAGACGGTAACTAGACATATTGTAGTGGTCATTTTCTAGTATACAGAAACACGGACAGTGTTGTAGGTCAGTTACACTCCATAAAAAGAAAAATCAACTAATCCCTTTGCATTCACTACAAAACAATCATATTTGTACTTTTCACATGCATCATTCTGCTAAGAGAAAATACTACGACCAGTCAACAGAGAAACACATCCAGGGAGCTCAGTAGCTGAATTTTCACTGAAAAAGGGGAGGGAATGGTATTCTGGATAATGTACTCTTGGGAGTTCGAGTATTATTGCCATTATTGGACACAATCAAAAGCAAGTTTCTGGCCCAAATCCTGGATTGTGTTGATGCCAAGTCATGTCTTAATTTTTTGATCAGCACCTGAGAGGCCCAGCTGTATCCCCAGGCACAACACCATGGCACTCAGTAGTCAGACTACCCAACTTTGAACAGTGCTCTCCTCCCTCACCAGGTGCGTAACTTTGAGCTGGCTGGTTAACCTCACAGATATTAGATCTGACCTCTGTAAAATGAGGGTTGTTAGGAGGATCTAATCAAATAACGCATGGAGAAAGTGCTTAGAATAGACACACTCAGTTAAGTGCTCAATAATAAATGATTATTATTATTATTACCCCCTTCTTCAAAAGCAAATTAAATATTGCTTTTCCCCCTCCTTTCTTCTCCCCTCCTATTTCTTTTTCTAGTGTCTTCTTACATGGCTTTGTTTTAAATGACAGTTGTGACAGCCAGTATTACCTACAGACGTAACGGTGACATTCAGAAAGATACTACCTGGTTTAAACCGACTTACATTTACAAAGTCTGAGAGCAATTTTTAAAAAGCCAACAGTAATTCACATACCTAGATATGCTTATATATTCATCCCATTTTAATAGCCTAATACTATGTTGATGTATCTAATTATTTGGCATAGACAGCAAAAGATGTATTTTGATTACAGACCAGAAATAAGGACTTAAGTTGCTATGTATTTGACTTTAATCTCTGGAAAATTTCCTATTCCCCTCATTAGTAATTACTATGTCATCTTCCCAGAGTTTAGAAGGGAGAGAATATGCAAACCAACACTCTACAGCTTCCAAAGGTAGAAATCAACTGGTCTATCCGAACAAATTATTTTCTCATAAACTGTAGTTTAACATCAGCTCATGAACAAATTCTGGCAAATTCTAAGCATATAATTATCAAGCTAATGTTTTATTGAAAATTTTCATTGGACAAATTGTGTTTGCAAAAGCAGAAATTCAAAAAAAGAACACTCAATCCTTACAAATGTAAATTTAACCTAACACTCAAATTTGACGAAGAAAAAAGCTTTAAAAAGGATGAAAGAAAACAAACATTTTGCTTTACAGAGAATGAAGAAAAACAGCATGCAAGCAATTTTATTAATAACTTCGTAAGCTGAAATAAATAATCACCAGAGCACAAGGTAACAAGTCTTTTCGCGTCAACAAGGGTCTTAAAGATATGAAAATGGCGAGATAATTGCCCGGAAATTCTAAGCAAAGGACCCTGTATTAGCATAAGAATGGTTAGTCAGTTCTTCCAGGTTTAACTTTGTAAACTTTTTGCACTTGAAATAGTGTTAGGCTCAAGGGTACATGCCAAATTTTTTGCTGTCTGGTTCATTCTGGGAGGTAGGCTATGAACAACAGCTTCAAAATGAAGCAAAAACTTGAAAGCAGGAGAAAAAAGTTTTGAAATGCGAGTGTTTGAAGCCCATTCCTAAGAATGACTTTAAACTTAATGCCACACTTATTAGGACACTAATTTTGTCCGGCACAGGCAACAAATATAGTCCGCTTATACTCAGATTTTAAAAACCTGTAATAATAACTACCGTTAAAGAAACTCCCTACGCTATTATCTCTAGTTTTCACTCACACTTACGTTACTAACGAGGAAATCGGTTCAGAAATATTAAAATCACTTATCCGAAACTACAGCGCTATTAAAGATTTGTAGCGGGTTTCGGAACCAGGGGCTCTGAATATAATATCCGCAACACCGCACTGATTCTCAAGAAGTTTAGCGTTAACATAATTTCTATTTGTATCGTGAAATATATCAAGATTTAAACTCCTACTCTACACGTTAAAATTCCAACCAGTTTTGCAATCCTTAAGCCCGTATTTTACACAATCTGCACGCAGTCCCTCAAAGAGAATCAATCACGAGAATTCGTAGCTCACAGATTTAAGGAATTAAGTGCAATTACCTTTCTAATTTCATCCAGCACCGTTTCAAAGGACTTTTTATCCATCTTGACTACTATCTCAACGAGAGGAGTTAGTTTCAATTACAAAACGTTCATCCCTGGTCCGCTCCGATAGTAAAAACGTTTACAGCTGAGAAGAAAAAAGACTCAAGGAGCAGAATAAAGGATGCGAAGAGGTAGAGTACTTCAAACTCTGCAAAAATTTCTAAAAGTGAAGACTTATAAAAACTTTTTATTAAAAACAAAACCCGTCAGGCTTCCCCAGCTTCTTTACACAAAGCTTCAGGAGCCCCTCGGGGAAGAGAAACCCGAGGTTCGGTAGCCGGAGGCAGAGCGTCGGTTCCCGCAGCTCAAAGGCATGCGCCGCCGGGGGAAAGTCCGGAAGCCGCCTTCCCGAGTGGAGCGGCCCGGAGAGCAGAGGCACCCGCGCCCCGAATCCCGCGGGCGGCGAGGAGGGAAGCACCGGCTTCTCGGCCCGCACTTGCACCTCGGCCGCCGCCGGCCGCCCCTCACCGCCGCGAACCGGGCCTCATGGCCCGCCTCGCGCTCACTCCCAGCAGCTCCGCCGGACTCCTGGGTCCCGTAGCCCGGGCAGCAGCGGCCTGGCAGCTCTTTGTTACCAGCTGCCACCGCTTCCGGGAGCGGGCCGGCGGCCGGCGAGCACCGGGAGCCGGGCGAAGGGGGTACGGTCTCAGGTAGGGGGACTCACGAAGACCGCAGCGCCAACGGCGCCAAGAGCCCTTCCTGGTTACCCCTAGAGCTTCCCCCGGCTCGTGGGGTCCTTCAACGGAGCCCGTCGCGCCAGAGTAAAGTCAACTCTGCGCCGTCTGCTGAAGCCACTCTTCGCGGAGAGCCTGTGGAGGGGGCCTGGTGTGGGAATGTAGGTGTCCATAGCGGATGCCTGGATGTCTCGGAATTGGATGAAGTTGAAGTCTTTCCCAGAGCCTGAAAGTTATTAATCAAACCTTAATTCTAAGGTTTGACTGTGCTAATTATTGGTTGTTAAGTCTGAATTTAAAAGAATGAACGTCGAGTGGTTAAGGCATATCTAAGGGCGCCCCGATTTTGGCGGACCGGAGAGGTCCACAGCGTGGACCGTCCGAAGGGTGGTCACGGGGTAAACCCGGGGCACGTGACAAGGGGATGGGAGGGAGCGGAGGGAGCGGAGGGAGGGGAGGGAGGGGAGGGGCGGGGGGAGGCGGGCGGTGGGAACGCGCTGAAAATCGGGAACGCGCTGAAAATCCGGAACCCCGGTTCTGATTTTCTTTCGCCCTGGTCTTTGCTGCCTTCTGGTTCTCTCCTAGGCGCGTTGGAGCTAGGAGCTTAGTGCAGCGACGAACCGCGTGGACCTGAGGCTGTCCGGGCGGCCCCCAGCCGCCTGCCTATTTTCTCCCTCGCCAGGATTCCTGTCCAGTCATGACGAGATTCTGGGTCTGCGTAGCCGGCGCTGGCTTCTTTCTTGCGTTTCTGGTTTTCCATTCTCGATTTTGTGCCTCTCGGGTGAGTTGGATAGTGAGGAAATGGCTGTCGGGTGTGTGGATAGCACTGTGGGGAGACGGTCTTGGGATGGAGGTGGCGCTGGTTCTCTTACTAGTTCATCTCAGAACCTGCACCGGGGGCTGAACCGCCGGCGCGTTGCCTGTTTCTTAGCGTTTAAACGTGTGTAATATGGTACATCGCCATTTTCCTTATTTTCTCTTCTTTCCCAGCTCCCGTTACCTCTTCACTTTGCTTTTAAAATTTCCTGGAGACCTGAGGAAGCCCTTTACCGGCTGGATGTGGATTGGCCTAAGTATTCAGAATACTTTACTGGAGCAACATTTTGTGTTGCAGTTGACTCCCTCAACGGATTGGTTTACGTAGCCCAAGTAAGTAAAATTGGGAATTTTTTTTTTTAGGTTATGGATACAAAGAAAACAGTTTTCCTGTCTCACCGAACTCAGTAACTATACGTTTATATTACGCCACTTGTAGAGTTCGTTTTTTGAGTTAAAGTTAATACTTTGGTTTTGAACGCGATAGAGATTAATATTGTAAGGTTTTGTAGATGGTTTTTTAAACGTTCCTAAATTCCTCGGTTAACCTGTAATTTTTGTTTCTCTCTGCCAAAATAAAGATTGCTTCCTTAAAAGTGATCTTATCTAAGCCGTTATTTTTGTATACCTTCAGAGAGGGGATAACATCCCAAAGGTATTAGTGTTCACAGAGGATGGATATTTCCTACGAGCCTGGAATTATACAGTTGACACACCTCATGGTATATTTGCAGCCAGTACACCACATGAACAATCCGTCTGGATCACGGATGTAGGAAGTGGTATGTTTAGTAATACCTATTAAATTATCTTGCTAGAAATCACATCTTTGCCCATGTTCTTGCTTGTCCATTTTAAAATCAGAGTGGCCGAATCTAATTGTAATTCCTTTAATGATTCGTGAAATTGCTTGTTTCTAAATCTTTATGTTGTACTTCTGTAGAATCAAGACATTTAACAAGGAGACTATAATTATTATGATCTTTCCTTTAAGTTGTCACAGGGCTTTTGCCTTTTAAAATATCAGTTGCTCTTCCTAGAGTAGATAATTCTAAACTTCTTCTGTGAAGCAAAATAAAATGGCGATCTCTAAAAGCTAATGAATGGAGTCCTTGCCTTTAGTTTTCCTTTACCACTTCTCTTTCAAAAGAAATTATGCTGATAACAGAAGTTATAATAGGCTAAGTGCCTAATAGTTTTAAACAGATCTCATGTGACAATATAATGAAAAATCCTTGACTTCAGTTCTTGCTATTGAACCACATGCTTTAAAAAGTGAAAAAAAATTATTCCAGGTGAAACAAAAGAGAGAGAGTGAGATTATGCTGAGAAACCAGAACTGCTTTCTTGCCCAGAGTAGAAGATCTGCACAAACAGCTGGTAATGTTTCTGAAATCCCACTGACTTCAGCATGTCTGAAACCTTGCTTCTGTCGAATATTTTTAGTAGAATGTGCTGCAAAACAAAGTAAGCACAGTTGAACTTAAAACCGTGAGATAAGTTTTCAGAGATAACTGTTTGCTTGTGCTTGTAGCTTAAGACAAGATGGTATAAGAGATAACCTGGTATTGTCTTAGGATCTCCGGAAGGAAAGAGATCTTAAAATATTTCTAGTCTTGTCCCAGTTATGTTCATGGCTTGAAAGTCCTTCTGTTTCCCCACTTCTGGCTAATTCAGATACCATTTTGGAATTAAAGAGGTCTCAGTTTTTGTAAGAAGTGCGCTTACCACATCTGTTCTCAAAACCCAAAAGATTTCTGAGCCTCAGCCCCGTGACCCATTTATTTAAAGCTGTATTTTGGATGGTAAGATTTTGGTTAACCCCCCAAAATCTAAGTTCTCTGAGTTCATTGTTAGACTCTATGAAACTTGATTATTTTCGCTTTTTTCTTCTTTTTTTCTTTTCGGGATTCACTGTTAAAAGAGGCCATTACTTTTTAATTCATTCCATTCATGTGATCCTTTTTTATAAAATACTTCACTGGTTCCCAGAAATAAAAAGAACACACATGATCTCTTCATTCTTTCCATTATAGGTTGTTTTTCCACACACTGAAGACTGAAGACAGTTTTTCTATTCCTTCCTATATTCCTTCCTATATTTCGAAGAATAAATTCTCTTCAGTAAAAACATGGCTGCATATCATAGCCATTAAAAAAAAATTATTTACTGGTATTCTATTTCTTTTCCAATTCCTTAGAGACTTTGTAGTATGCTTTTTTTAATGTTTTGTTCTCTTATTATTGCTACAGACTTTAGCTCAAGTCTCCAAAACAAGTATAATAATAAATACTATTGTCAAGATAGGATTGCAATGCAAGCTGATTCACTTTATTTCCAGAGAGCCCATTGTTTCCAATGTATCATTTGAATGCCTACCAGTTAGTTGGTCTTGGTATGCCTTCAAGTTGGTTTCTGTTAACTGCTTTATAGTTTTTCCCTATTCGTTAATATTCCACTTTATACTTTTGCTTGTAAGATAATTTTAACTCAAAGAAGTTTCAGTGTGAGAAGATAAGATACTGGTGATTTGGAAAGATCTATTCCTTTCTTAGGAAAGAAAAGCTAATGGGTTGAATTTTGTATTTGTTTCCACTAGGAGAAAATGTAGCTTAAAAAAGTCAGTATTGTTATAAACCAATGTTACCGCAATAAAAAAAAAAACTTAAAAAAATTAACACAAGAATAGATATAAATGACTTTTATAAACAAATAAACAGAAGTTTGTATTATAAAGAACTTTTTCAGTCACCCACTGAAATTGGAGATCTGCCCGTGAATGACTGGAATAACAGTTTTCAAATATAAGTTGTTCGTCTTCCAGATCCTTCTTAATTTTCTTATACAAGTAATGCTTATTCAAGGTCATAAGGTTAAAAGAAGAAAATGGTGTACCAGTACTTTTACATCATGAGCCTTCTGTTTAAGGAGTCTTTTTTTTTTTTTTTTTTCAGTTTTCTTTATTTGGATTTAGAATCTTACTTTGGAGTACCTGAGGTTTTAATTCATGAACAGATTTGGCTATAACTAATGAAGCTCTGTTGCTTGTCAAATATAACATTTAATTATCTGAGCCTTTTAACTTTTTATTGCTATTTAATTCTGTTAAATTTTTGCTCTCAGCTTACTTGAAAAATGTGAATGTATATAACTATGGTTATATATTTGAAATGTGCATGTCTATCTTTATAGGACTCTACGGTCATACTATTAAAAAATACAATTCCTTTGGTGATCTTGTTCAAGTTTTGGGTACTCCAGGCAAAAAAGGCACTGGTTTAAATCCCCTGCAATTTGATAACCCTGCAGAATTATATGTAGAAGACACAGGGGATATTTACATTGTGGATGGAGATGGAGGATTGAATAACAGGTTGATCAAATTGTCCCAAGGTACGTGGCTTAGTTTTGTATGGTATTATTGCAATACTTTAAAACTGAAGGAACCTTTTGGCCAATCCAATATAAGAATGTTACTTAATAAGTTGGATTTAATTTGTCTGGTACTCAGTATAACTTCAGTCTTTGCCTCTGTCTTCACATTTCTTTCTTCTCTGTGTGTCTCTTTGTCTCAAATCTCTTCTCCTTTCTCTTATAAGGGCACTAGCCATTGGATTCAGGGTCTGCTCTAAATCCAGAATCACCTCATCTCAATACCCCTAACTTATTGGAACTAGGGCCTTTGCAGATACAATTAAGGTCACATTCACGGCTCTGGAGATTGAGACTTGGACATATCTTTTTCTGGTGGGGCTGGGGCGAGGGATACTTTCAACTCAGTACAGGGGAATTAAATAAGATGGCCTGTAGAAACGTAATTTTTAAGCTCAGAGGAATGGTAATACCAAATAACAGGTTGGTTATAAGGGGAACCAGTTTCAGGACAAGGTTGACATGAACCCTAAACAGCGGTTTTGAGTTATGAAAAATTCAGGTGGAAACAGTCATTAAAGAAGCAGATTAATTGCTTGAAACAGGGAAAGAATTTTTTTAAGCATACAAATTAGTCAAATGGATGTATAAACAGAAAGCCAGGAAAACATAATCAGCTGGGGGTATAACTGAATACTTTGTAACTTATGACATAAAGTATAACATGTAAATGCATAACGTATTCTGTATGTTGTTCTGACCGTATATGTGTACCATTTATAGATTTCATGATCCTTTGGCTACATGGAGAAAATGGGACAGGGCCTGCTAAGTTCAACGTTCCTCACAGTGTTACAGTTGATTCTGATGGTCGGGTAAATATACAGCGTCGCTGTGGACTGTCTGAATATATGGGGGTGGTGCAGAGCATGGATATATGGGCACACGGGAGTGTCTAGACATTTGGATACGTGTGTATGTTAGTGGATGTGTGTATCTGGGTATGTCTGGGCAATTCCTCTGGGTATATCCACATACTCTCTTATAAATGTTTGGGTCCTATAATGAAGTTCCCCAAATATTTAGAAATGAGCAAAATAGATCACCTCTGTCACTTAAAGGATAGAAGAAACAAATAATGGAACAGGACATAAGTGAAGTTGCCTGAAAAAAAAGGGTTGTGTTGAGGATGTGTTGATCAAAAGGGAGATGGAAGAGGTTAATCTTGGAAGCTTGAAAAAAGGAGTGACCAGGCACACTCTAGTTCTCCAAGTGACCTAGCTCCACTCTGTCTGAGGAACAGAATGCTTTAACCAACAAATTTCAATTTCTTTTGTTCCCACCTCCGTCTGTCCGCTACCACCTCCTGCTTTTACACACCTTTAAGCATACATGTTGTCTCTTTTGGGGAGTCACCTCTCTGTAACCAAACCCACTCAAAATGTTTTCTATTAGTTTCTCCACCTGTTTTCCTGTAGTAGCCCTTACTCCCCCATTATAGTAACTATCACACTGTAAGATGATGGTTAAATTGTCTCCCCTAATAAGAGTGTAGGCAGTATGAGGGCTGGAACTGCATCCCTTCTGCTTTCTATGTTAGTGCCTAGCACGTAGGAGTCATCTTACATCTTTGTTAAATGACTGAATGCCTTGGTGCGCAGTGGATGCATCTTGGCTTCACGCCATTAGAAATTTAATTCATTTCCACTTCTGATTCTGTGCTCAGCAAGCAACCTTCTGATTGTGACTTGGCTTCCTCTGTTAACAGAGAGAGAATGTTTTGATCATAAAATCTTCAAGTATTTCCCATTGTAGATAGGAAGATAACTGAACATAGGAACTTCGTCTGTAAATTGGGAACTGGAAAATTGGAATTCTGGTTTTGCACATTACCTTCCTGAACCTGATTAGCCACTCCCCTCATGGGATAAGAACAAGGTCAAGTTTCTGAGTCGGCAAGACCTAGACCCAGGTCAGTTCACCATGGTGAGGAATGTCCTTGGAGGTCATTTGATGGGGATCCTCTAGCATCACCAAGTGATGAAAACCTGGCGTGTTCATTTCTGGACCCTTGTGTCTTTGTAACAACAGCAGCAATACTGTTGTGGCATTTAACATGATTAACTCATTTAATCATCGCCTCAACCCTATGTGAAAAGTTTATTAGTTCCAGAGTTAGACTTGTTGTTTCTTAAACCAGGTTTCTCATAATAAAAATCTGTTGAGTAGGAAAGATAATGCTAACAACCTGTAGTGTCATTCAATCCAAGGGTCTAAACTGTATTTCCTCCTTGGCCACTTATCTAAGACAGTAATCCCAAAATCCTTAAGGAAACTCCTCTTTAGTAAAGAATCATAGATCAGGAAAAGATCTAAGAAATAACCTTACTTAGGGATCAATAGCCTTTCTAAAGTGATACACTGAGTCTTTATTTGTTTCTGACTAGAGATGAATTCAGTGGCTACCAAAACTCACACACATTGACAAAGACTTAGTCAGGGTTACTCTGAAGAAATAGTCCTGAATCCACAAATCCAAGAACTCCAGGGATCCTCAAAAGGGGGAGGTAGAGGTCAGCACGTTTGGCCCATCCTGTACTTATGCTGCAGGTTGCATACATCAAATACAGTACACGAAATGTCATTTAGGTACAATCTGTTTATAACAACAGTTTCCTGAAGAACTCATGACAGCCTATAGCAAACCTAAATTAAACCTACTGTTAGCCCATTATCATGCTTTATATGTCACTAAAATCTCCCAAGCTTCCTCTTTAGTTTGGCACTTCGGTTTGGAACTTTGGACATACCCTGGTAAATAGCAGGTAGAGGTTTAATGATGTGATACGAGTGAACAGCTGGCTTCCCACTGGCCTGGGGTCCTAAAGAGCAGGGCTGCTTTTCTATGTCTTTGTCTTGTTAGCTGGCCCAGGAACCAACAAGTCAACAGGACTCAGTGACAGCGGTTAGAGGAGGGAATGAATGAATGCTCTCACTTCTCGGTGTCTCCCCATCCTCTGCATTATAGTGGAGTACTCCAGCTTTTTAGTTAGCCAGATGTCTAGTATAGTAGAGCATTCTAGGCTTCGGGTTAAGACGGATGGCCATACATGGCTCTCTTGCTTATTGTAAGCTCTGCTTAAAACGAAGTATTTAACTTCTCTGCATTTGAGTTTCTTATCTGAAAATGGGGTTTTTAATATTCTCTTCTGTGAGGTCCTCTAAGTCCTCAATGGGAGTTTATGAAACTAATGAAAATAAACATTCATTCTCTCCCCCTCTTCTTTTTTCTTTCTTTGGGTTCCCAGGTGTGGGTGGCGGACCGAGGCAATAAAAGAATTCAGGTGTTTGATAAAGACACGGGGGAGTGGCTAGGAGCTTGGAATAATTGTTTCTCCGAAGAGGGACCTTCTGCAGTCAGGTAATCATTTCTTTTTGTTTTAAAATGCTTGTTTGATTTGGTTTACGTTAAGTTTCTCTGAAGAGCTAGCTGAAAGTTTAAAACATTTACTGTTAATTTTAATCAGCGAAAAAGGAGAAGGAAAGAAGTTTTCAGAGAACATGTAATCATATTTCAAATCCCAGGCAGCGTGAATGCGGTTAAACTCCCAGCACACTGTGGGATCCAAGTATCAGAGATATTAAAGCCTGGACCTTCCTACATCCTCTGCCCTCGAGATGCAGTTTATTTTTAAACAGAGAATGAAAATAAAAATCTTGAGTCTATAGTTTCAGACCCAGCCTGACACCGATGCTCCATTAGTTTCATCTCTGTGTAATATTCCAATATTGTTAATTTTAAAAACATAAACTAATCTTTGGTTAAGTCTGTCATCACAAATCTCTTGTTCCCTGCGAAGCAGAATCAGATCAGTTTTCAAGCTCCCTTAAAAGAACCCTTCAGCAAGCAGGTCCTTACTGTTGTGTAGCACTGTAGGGGATACACATGTCGAAAAAATAAACATTTATGTTAACTTTGCTCCGGTTGATTATGTGACATGTCTTCCTCCTTAGATTTACTCCCGACGGGAAGCACTTGATCGTAGCTCAGCTGAATCTAAGCCGGCTCTTACTCATGGCGGCGCCCCCGGTAGGAAGCATTGGCGACTGTTCGGTGATCAGCACGATCCAGCTGGCGGATCAGGTCTCACCTCATCTCTTAGACGTCAGTGGGAAGACCGGAGCCATCTATGTAGCAGAAATTGGAGCAAAACAAGTACAAAAATACATCCCTGTGAAGAGCTATTCCTCTTCATTCGGTTCGTAACTGTTTCTTTCCCTGAAGGTCTTTCCAAGTGGAAGTTCAGATTCTCAGCTTTGGGGCATTCTTGTGACTTCATTTCACACATGAGTGCATAAGGATACTTTAATGAAAGAAACGTAACTCTAATGAAAAATGGGATGGGAAAGCGGGACTGAGGTGGTAACCCAGTAATTTGCCCTATAGACTCATTCTCGCTGGGGGTGGGGGGAACACAGGAATAAAAGTGGGTTTGCAGGATAATTTATTGAATTTCACATAAACAACACAAACCTTCACTTTATTCACTTAGTAAAAAATGAACTGCTTGAGAGATGGGGTCAGATGGGGTCTTGATTAATGAAAACCCACAGAGTGCCAGGTCCTGAAGATTCGGGACTGAGCAGGCAGGGTTGTCTGTGCCTTTGAGTAGCTTATAGTCCACAAAGCACGGCAGCAGCAGCGCACCAGGGAAGTAGGACTTTCAGAAGGAGGGGTGTTTTGTCTGAATCATGGAGACTTTGCAGGGGAGTCCGTTTGAGTTCCTCAAGCTCCGTTTGAAAAGCAGGAGGAGAGAACGACGTCCAGGTACAGATGTTAAGAAAAGTGCACGCTTGCTGTGAACTTCGGTAGACTTTATTTTACAGGCCCAGCTTGGCTTTGGTCCTTTAGTTGTAGGATACGTAGTTGCATCCTTTAAGTATAGGAATAAAATGGCTAGCGTCAGGCACTTTACCGAAAGGGGTTTTTACAAATAACTGGAATGGTTTTTAAAGGTAGCGTTAAAAATAGTTCCTCTCAGTCCCGCCACCTACCTACCTTCCTTCCTTCCTTCCTTCCTTCCTTCCTTCCTTCCTTCCTTCCATCCATCCATCCATCTCTTTTTTACATGAACTCTGTCCATTCCTAACATTTGTCTACCTCAGGGAAGTTTTAGAATTATTTATGGGAGAATGTGTGCCAAACACTTGGAGCTATTAAAATGAAGAATTTCCTACCTTTCTATTTCTATGTCTCTTTTTTACCCCTTTGAATATTGGCCTCCCAGTTAAGACCATTTGTTCAGTTTGTTCTAGTTCATTCTAGGTTTGGAAGGAACCTTGCCATATTACAGTCTTTCAGATCATTCTTCACCTTTTCTCGCATCAGCCTCCATCTTTATCTCCGTGTTTCACTGTAAATTGTATGGCAAGTGAGAAATCTTGAGCTGACTGTCCTCATTACCTATTACGACTGGAGTCTGCTTTCCAGACCTCGAGGAACTTACACTTTTGTCATATCTTGATGCAGTTAGGAAGGTCAATCTACCAACAGGAAACCCTCTCCTGTGTTCCAAGGCCATTGATGTGTGTTTGTGCCACTGGTCAAGCTGTGTGATCTAAGTGAGCTGCCTTAGTTTTCTCTTCAGTGAAGTGGGAACATCATTGCCTTTCCTCCTTCAGGAAGGCTGTGACGATCAGATATGCAATAGGTACAGATATGCCCTTTGAAATCTGTAGCTCCAAGTACATTAAAGTCATCTTATTAGCAAGGGTCCTACTAAATGTGCTATTTACCTGATACCAGCTATCAGTTTTGCCTTAATTTTGCATTTATTGCTTTTTTTCAAAGCGTATCCTCACAAATTGTATTCAGTTTAGCCAAATCGACTTGGATGAAAGGAAATAATTTGAGGTTTTGTTTGCAAGCCAGGACAAGAAGTGCAAATGTCTCTTTGAAAGAATATAGGTTAGATTTTGTCATTTCAAAAATGTTGTATTTAACTTTGTTTTATACCAGATTTTTATAAAACTTGCTGAAAGTATTGTTTCCATGTGTCCTGCTAAAAGTGTTTATTTTATTAGCATACTTGTAATCATGGTATCTCACTTTTTTCCTTTGGATTAATTGGTTAAATTAATTGAACGAGAAGTGTGTTGTATTTTCTATTAAAAAATAAAAGTTTTGGAAAGAATGCAATATTGTCTGATTTTCCAATTAAAGCTTGATTTTATTGTTATAAAAGCAGTCTACAATTTCTTATTCCATTGAAGGATTTCAGCAATCATGAAATCACAGGTTGAGAGTATATCCTCTTCATTCACAGTTGAAGTGAGGGCTGAAGTGTGTAAATATTGCTAGAGGTTGCTTAGAAGACTTAATGTGGCTTTTTTTGGGGGGGGCTCCGTTGGGTCTTCGTTGCTGTGCACGGGCTTTCTCTAGTTGCGGTGAGTGGGGGCTACTCGGACCCCTCTCTGTGGTGGCCTCTCTTGCTACGGAGCACGGGCTCTAGAGCGCAGGCTCAGCAGTTGTGGCGCACGGGCTTAGTTGCTCCGCTGTATGTGGGATCTTCCCGGACCAGGGCTCGAACCCGTGTCCCCTGTTTTGGCAGGCGGATTCCCAACCACTGTGCCACCAGGGAAGCCGCCTTAATGTGGCGTTTGAAATGGTGGGTGGGTACAAATGATAGTAATAACTAGCTAACTATATTTTTGCATTAGAAATGGAATCTCTTTACACCTCTACTTTCTAGATTTATTCTGGGGGGAAAGGGGTAGGGTGTTCTAAGTTAGAAAACCAAAGGCTATAGGTATCTTTCTTAACCTCCACTACAACATTGGGTCTTTAAAATAGAACATTTGTCCATCAAAGAAACCATGTATGCAGTGTGACGATAAGCGAAGGAGACCTCTATGCTTTGTGCTCACGTCATATAACAGATTAAAAGACAACTTCAAGCAATGTGGCTGTTAAGCTAAAAGCAATCAAGGCCTAACTTTTATTTTGTCGTTGGTTTTAAAACATTGGATTTTAAAGCAGGATAGATTGGATAGCCAACATTGGAACGGAACTCTTTTTGACTTACTTCACTCTGTATGACAAGGACAGAAATAAAGACGCAGACATAGAGGTTGGACTTGAGGACACGGGGAGGGGGAAGGGTAAGCTGGGACGAAGTGAGAGCGTGGCATGGACATATTACACTACCAAATGTAAAATAGCAGCCACATAGCACAGGGAGATCAGCTTGGTGCTTTGTGACCACCTAGAGGGGTGGGATAGGGAGGGTGGGAAGGAGACGCAAGATGGAGGGGATATGGGGATATATGTATACGTATAGCTGATTCACTTTGTTATAAAGCAGAAACTAACACACCACTGTGAAGCAATTCTACTCCATCAAGATGTAAAAATAAGTAAATAAAACTGGAAACTCAGATTTTTGCTCCTCAGACGCACCAAAGTAAATCACAATCAATGAAGTCTTTTTTAAAAAGAATAAATCCCATGTAGTTATACAACAAAAATGTACGAAACAACAAATGTATGAAGACAATTAGGCAAGCGTCTTCTGCCCTAGCAGTTCACTATCTAGGTGGGAAAACAAGCCACACAAACCCCCCTTACTTTTCAGGCTCTTTCTGGAAGTGCCCTTTGGTACTTGTGTTACATTCATGATACAAAAGAGGGCAGCAGCGTCCAGATTATGGTAAGTGTTTCTTGGAATCAAATGTGGACATCTGTTGACTTTCTTTATACTTTGCTTAAATCTGAGGCTCTAGTGTTAACCACACTTAATTTTTCTTCTTTTTCTTCAGTTTGCTTACATCTTGAGGAAATTGGTTTATAGGTAACATATTTTCCAAGGGTTGTTGGAACTTTCTACTGTTTTCATTGGACATTGCCATGTTTAAGAAAAAAAACAAGGTAAAATCTTTTCAGTAGTTCAAACTGACAGCCAGAAGTGAATAACCCTTTTTAAACATTTGAAACTGTAACCTGAAAGGTGTATTTAGTGCAATAGAAAATGTATTTGTGTTAGCAGGGAATTACTCCTTTTCTCCCTACTAGCTTTTTGTTGTTTTAACAATTTTGCTCTGTGGCTGCTGACTCTTTTACAGGTGAGCAAAATGGATTATTTACAAAGAGACCAAGTCATTTCTCTACCAGGCACTTACCCATAGAATCCCTGAGTTTATTAAGTAAGTTAATGCTCTGAACATTTAATGACATGTAGATACTCTTTGTATGTAAGAACTGAGTGGAATTTGAACAATGAAAAACAGCACTCTTTGAAACTTTTGTTTCTTCCGTTGTAAACAATGAAATGATATTGTCATGATTTAATTCTGCTTCAATGCAATTTGTAAGGAAAAGACACCGTGTCATTCATGAAACAAGCATGCTTTGAAATGAGCATGTTTTAGGTAGGTTGAGTCTTTTGAATAAAATCTTTTAAAAGGTAGATCAAATTGTCTGTGTCACAACAGGTTCATATCCTAAACTTGCTCCTCAGCTTTCAGCCACTTCATTCTCAAGAAAGAAAATGTTAGTAGCATGGTGCATATCTCAGATTTATTCTTTACCAGAATTGATTACTATGTGTTATGCAAATTTTTTCCCATAGGACTTTTATGTATTACAAATGGTCACAATCACCAAATTTTTATAACATTTTTCTTCATAGTATATGTACAGGAATATTTTAATGTTTTGATGTTTACTGTGTTTAAATACTAATTTTTACTTAACTAAAGGGATTTAGGAACTAATTATGTATACATTTGTTTTTAATCAACACTAATTTAAAAAATTTATCCAGTTTTTTTTCTTTGTGGGGTGTGTGCGTGTGTGTTTAAGTGTGTGTGTAAAGGGCATTATGCCCAAATAGTTCAGAACTGTATCAAAAGAATTAACTGCAACTTACCATGGCTAAATGTAAATTATATACATTGAAAGAGTCATGGAAAAAACCTGATTTGGCAACAACTTGTCTGAAAAAGATTTAGAAAGTTTGTTGACCAAAAACATTACAGCCATGTTAAGAAAAACTTGTTGCAATCTCAGGTAACATTGATGTAAATATAATGGCAAGTTTATAGATAGGATAGTCTGTGATCCTGGTAAGCAGAGCGGAGATCTTGAAGTTCCCTTTGGGATGCAGCATTTTAAGGGAGAATGCCACAAATAGACTCTAATCCCAAAGCAGGGGACCGAAATAACACGGTGTTTGGAAATAATTCTGAGACCCTGACAGGGTGATCATGTAGGAGTAGAGTGAGCTTTCCTCTAGAATTAAGGCAATGAGCAGAAATAACAGAGTGGCCAATTGGCCCAGCCCAGTGAAAAAACCTTCCAGTGGAATGGATTGTGTTAATGCTGGGAGTGGTAAAGCTCAGTGGTTCAGAACTTGAAACCTGGAGTTAGGTCGACCTGGGTTCTGATCCAGGCCCTGCCACTTAACTTTCTGTATTGTTTTGAGATTCTCTGCTTCATTTTTCTCGTTCGTGAAATGGAAATAATAGTATTTTCCTCATAGGATTCTTGTGAATACAAATAAGATCATGTAGAGCATTACACCCATTCTCTGACACACGGGAAGCACTCACCAAACCTTAAGAGATTCACTTGCAGTATTTAAGCCACAGATGGGCAGTCATGCCACCTTTGGGCAGAGATCCTTACACTGGGAAGATGGTGAGGCCAGATGACCTTCCCTATCATATGGTTCTGTATTTAGTCGCAGTATTGAAAACTGAAGGTATAGTTGTAAAAACCTAAGTTATCTGTCATTTAGAAATGGCCATTTTTTAAAGACAGATTTTCCACTTTGCATTAAAGCTATTTATCCATCCAACAGGTACCTACATGCCAGGTACCGGGAATACAGTGATGAGCAAGGTAAATTTTCTGGAATTTACATTCTACATGGGGAGACAGAACAGTTTGAATGGAAAAAAGAGATTCTGATTAGAATATGTGGTACATATTAACACTTGATTGGCTAAATAAACACTCATTCCCAACCTCCTCCCTTACCTTCCACCACCTTAGAGACTGGTGCTTGCTTTCTCAGCTAAACAGCATGTAGAGGTAGCCATATGATGTGATACGGTCTGGCCAATGTGGTCCCGGCACTTGTGGAAAATCATTTGGTTTTTTGATTTTAAAAAAAGGTATATTTGGCACCACCATCTTCTCCCTTGAATTGAACTTGAATGTGATGCCTGGAGTTGCAGCAGCCTTCTTGGAACTATAAAGCAACAAACCAACATTCTTAAGGAAGACAGAAAGCTAGAAGGAGCCTGGGTTTTTATGATTGGGGAATCACTGAACTGGCCTTGTAGTTCCTTTCTGCACACTTCTTTTTATGTGAGATAATTAAATGTTTGAGTTACTTAAGCCACAGTTAGTTGGATATTTTCTTGCAGATTAAATTATTCCTAAGAAATTCAATGTTGAAGTAACCTGTATTAATTTGGGAAGGATAGATATTTTTTATGGTTTTAAGAGTCTGTATCCAAGAAAATAATTCATTCTGCTTTTATGTCTTATATCCTTTAATAAGATTGTATTGGCGTTTTTTTAAAAAAATGTATATCCTGTACATTTCTTTTTGACACATTTTGATTCCTATGTCAAATTTATCCTATGTATTTGTTAATTGTAGCTACTATAGTAGGATTTTTTCCCCCGTTTCTAATTAGTTTTTGCTGGTATAGAGAAAAAGTATCAAATCTTTTTACATATATCTACTCACCTTTATAAACTCTTACTAATTTTAATTAGCTATTATAGATATTCACATATGCTAGGTATACCACTCTGAAAATAGAGATAAGTATACATCTTCAGTATTTTTATTGCTTGTTTGATTTCAAAAATTTTATTGCATTAGATACACTGTTCAAAACAATGTTGAATGATAGTCATGATATGGAATGTCCTTATTTCTGATTTTAATGGAAATGTTAGTACTTCACTAATTAATATCATGTCTGCTATTAGTTTTGGTAATTTTAATATTTAAGTTTATTTAGTTTTTTCAATCTCTGGGATTTTCTTTTTTCTTCTTTTTTTTTGGCCACGCCACATGGCTTGCAGGATCTTAGCTCCCCAATCAGGGACTGATCCCGGCCCACTGGTGAAAGTGCTAAGTCTCAACCACTGGACCACCAGGGAATTTCCATCTTGGAATT